TCTAATTTTCCCCTTCATGTCTACAATAAAAACAAATATAAACAAATCTAGCAATTGATATTTTTTGTAACTACATGAACACCATGTTACCTTCTATGGTATTATAATATCTTTTCCTTAGAACTTGTTCTTCCTTATAAAGTATTTCTAGCTCAGCAAGTTGGGCTCCTTGCATCTTCAAAATGGCAGCTGTTTGCTCATTCTTTCTATCAATGTCCTAACAAACATGAAAATAAAATAAACATCTCATTTCTAGTTTCACTTTTAGCTAATTCAGGAAAATACATTATCATCATTCAGATAAAAAACAAAATTGAAATGATGAAGAGGCCTTAAGTGTATCAATACCTCTTTCATTTCTCTTAGTTCCTCCAGTTCTTTCAAATTGTTCTGTAACAAGAGCATATCAGATGTCTTACTTTCAATCGTAGACTCAGCATTTTTTAAGTCTTGAGTAAGGACTTCAAGTTTATTTTCAAGTTCAGAAACTCGAAGCTTCAACACCCTTCTTTCTTGTTCATATATCTTTTGGTGAATCTCAGCCTGAAATGTTGAAGAGTCAATAATACGCAAGTATATCCTACTTTTCAATTTGAAATCGGCCATAAATCCAATACAAGAAATCACCTCCTCTGTTTTCTTATTTTCAATATTGAAAATACTTTGTTCCAATATTTTGTTTTCACTCAACAACCTCTTTGAATTCTCAACTGCAATGTGTAATTCCTTATTTCGAACATCTAACTCGGTTTGGATCTTGTATAACATCTGCGACAGAAAACTCATTATTAAAGAAAACCTGAATCGCTCACAACGAACAACATAAATTACTCAATAATATACGCACACCGTACTATGAGTCAAATTTGAAACACGTAATATATATTTACCTGATTATCCATTTCAGGTAATTCTGATATTGACTCTTTACTTAATTTTGTGTTTCCCGACTTTGCCAACATTGCTTCCATCCCACGAAGTTCAGACATCAAGGTCTAGAAAAAATATATAGGTTGAATAAATAAACAACTCAAATTAAGCAAAAGAAGGAAGGGAAAACTTATGCTATAACTAACTTTGATAGTTGTCCCCTTCTCGTCACACAACAACTTAAGTTTATCACGGTCTAAGGTAACCTCCAACAATTTTTTCCTTCCAAGCTCTAAGCTACTGCGTGTAGCTTCTAACTCTTCATGAAGAGAAATTTCTTGCTGAGTTTTCTCTTGCAGTTCATCTATCAACTACACGACAACATAAAACCGTGGTAATTCATTAGCATCAACTCTAAAGAGAAAAGGGGTCAAGAAATAACATTCTTCATACAATAACATGAAAATAGCAAGGAAGGGTTGAATTGTATTGGAATATCTCACAACTGCCAGAATAAAAGATCAATTTACTGTACTACGTTATCCATTGTTTTTCCAACTGAACTTCTCTCTAAAGATTCAATTTCACATGAAAAGAAACAAGAAATCTCATAGAATGTGTACCTTGTCGTTTTTTCTCTGGGACTCTTCGAAAGCCTTAGACAAATCTTGCACACGTTTTTCATGCACTTCAAGATTTGGCGGTTTAGAACTGCAGGATATATCTCCATTAACCAAGCTATTGGCAGCAGATCTAGCTTTGGAGTAACGACGCAACATAACATCATTTATATGTGTTTGTAAGGCAACACAGATTTCTTCTCCCTACAAATAACAAAAAGGTGGTTCACCTCTACAAGTTGTCCAAATCGATTATCTCGTAAGGAAATGTAGTTATAAAGAACCTGAAAAGATTATGACTACCTGTTTTGTCTCAAACTGAAATATGTGAAGAACACCAGCAACTCTCATTTTGAAAAAGACAGCAGTGTTGCTGCTGCCAAATTGCATTATGTCACGTAATTCAGCTGAGTGCAGATACTCTTTGGGAACAGGTCGAAAAAAGTGAACCTGCAAGAAAACAAACAATTAGAATCCAACAAATCACATTAGAATTCCAAACAACAATAATACCCCTTTTTTGCTCAACCAGTAACATGCAATTTAATAAAAAGAGTTATAATATATAGCGTCTACTTGGAAACTGACCCCACGTTTGTTGATACCCAAAATGATTCGTCCGGGTAAAAGGCCAATCGGATCATCTATTTTGCGTACGCTAAAAAATACAGAATTCCCATATGGCAGTGCCTTCAATATACGTAGAAATTGTTGTCTTGCATCATCTTTTGTCAAGTGCTCCTACATTTTCACAGACACAGATACGAAGGAACATTATAGTATGCTATGACTTCAATCCGATTGTATTTGCCAAAGTTATCTGATAAGGATCCAACTAACTAAAAGGCATGTGTCATTCCTACCATTGCACGGTAGCGAGCAAGGATATCCAATTCCCATTCACGCTTGGCTCGGGTTATTGCTATTTGTCTCGGCAAAAACCGCTCAAGAAGCGATGTCCAGTCACTGATCAGAAGAACGAAAACAGAATTATAAACGTAGAATTGGGGAAAAAAAGCATCATAAGGTGCTACACAAGGAATAATAAACCAGCGGCTTTGCTAAGCCATAATGAAGAATAATTCTGATTATAAATAAACTTAGTATACTAACATGCATGACTCCGGACTATTGACAAACCCAATCCCAACAAGAATTTGTAAGGCACAGAGCTGAGCAGCATCATCCCTTCCAACAGGATAGTTTCCTAGCAAATAGTCATGTTGCAGCTGCATGCAGTTGTGTTAGCAAGGAAATGCAAGTTTTCATGTGAAAATAAATGTGCCATTGGTGAAGAAACTGCTCACTTGTACATAGGAAAGCTGCACAAACATGAGATCTGATACAGCTTCATCAGACTCTCGGAATAATTTCTTTTTGAATACTAGTTTGCAGTGTAGTATCTCCCCTTTATTTCTATCTTTTATAGCTTTGAATTCAGCGAGGAGATCTCCAATATACTTGTTATCATCCAATCCTATATATTCCTCTGCAAATGACAGATAGAATAATGTGGTAATAGTAGGACTCAAGCATTAAGAAAATGATCAGGAAAGTAGTATGAAAGCATACCATTTCCGGGATCAGATGATTTGGAACTTGAAACCACTTTACGACATTCAAACAAACTGAAGCTAGAAAAGGCTGATAGTTTAATTGTCCCAGCTAGCTCCTGATACGTACGGATATGTGAATGCAGTGAGAAAAGTTTAACCGAAAGCAAAGGGAGACAAGAAAACGAAATGCTTGAACGAGCTACTTAGAACAAATTCACTATTCATTTCTTACTGCTTTGAGCAAGAATATCATGACCTGTTAGCGGTTCAAAGCAAGGAACAATATTACGATAGAAAAGGAAAAAGAAAAGGGAAATGAAGAGGATACCTCAACAGCATCAGAAACTGTTGTAGCCATGTCATAGGAAATTTCTTCAAAAGTTTCATCGAGAAAGAAGACAATGGTTGTAAGCTTTTTACCGGTCAAAAGAGCTTCAATCTCTTCACGGGCAGGGGTGGTATGCCTAGGACCAGCTTTGATGGAGCGCTTTAAGGCCTTCAAAGTATTAAGAGAAAGAACATGGACCTCTGGTTCAGTAGTTGCATCGTGTGCGACATTGTGAATATACTCAGAGAGATATCCACCGATATCTTTGCTAGGAGGCATTGAGGACGCACATAAGTACATGAGTTCCCACGCTCTTATCAAGTATTGCCTGAGATTATGCAGAAAAGGGTAAATATAAAAGTAAATGGTAACTGCGGGAGGGAGGCAGGGAAAGTAAAAAGGGGGAAGGCACCTACCTGTCAGGATTATGTCTAGTCTGCTTGGAGATTTGGGCAAAAAGTTCGTCCCTGAGTTCAACACGCTTCAAAGTTTTCTTGAAAAGCTTTGCAGAAAGGTCAATGCGTTCATCTAAAGAGGGTGGGGTAGAAGAATCGACGCCCATATACTTTAAGATGAGAAGAAACAACTTGGTAGCACGGCTGACGAGATCGCTGTTTATCTTGAGCAGGGATGTGGGGATAGGATCCTAAACGAACGAGAGCACAAAGTAGTCAATATATATGTAATATGTTGTTAGTGGAGCACAGGAAGAAAGAGGAAAAGAGAGACCTTCTGGAAGCAAAGCATGTCCTCGAAAGTGAAGCGCTCTTTTTGGAGATGAGAGCCCGAAGACTTTTTGGAATAGAAGAAGCCACGCTTGCCACCAGACTGGATTTGCTTCTGCATAAGCCGCAGAAAAGCTTCAACCTGGAACCGATCAATGAGGGGAATGGCAGCAGCTAGGTCCGCAGGAATTGACACTTGAGAAGCTGGGGAGCTGCTGCTGCTGCTGGGGTCAATAAATTAATAATGTTGCCAAAATTCTGATAGAGAAAAAAAAAGGAGGGATGGAGCGACACTTACAGAGGAGGAGGAAGAGATTCGGCATCGAAGTCGGTCCCAGAGGGATTGGGAACATAAAAGCATGAAGAAGAAGCATCGGTGATGATTTCGTTGGCATTGTGAGAGCTCAGTGAAGAATTACTTCCCTCCATTAGAGAGATTGTTAGATCTGGATCTGGAGCACAATTTCCCCAGAAATGTGGCGAGGGAAAGAGAGAGTCACGGGAGGTTTTTAATTACCCTTTCTTCCCATTCAATACGATTCAGCTGATTTGATTTTTCTTTTTTTTTTGCTTGCTAATTCCTGGTTTAGTTTAACAAGATCAAATGGAATCACTCATCGTCCTTGTGGTTGTGTTGTGAGTTGAAAACCAAATAAATGAATCGATGAATAAGAGACGTGCCTCCACGTCCATTGGTCTCATGGTTGTGCCTCCAACACCATTTACAAAATCATCTCTCTGCTTTGGTGTCATCCTCATTTCTCATTACAATAATCATTTATTTTCTTTCCACTCTTTTGGATTATTATTTATCTTGTTTAGTTTAACAAGATCAAGTGGAATCACTCATCGTCCTTGTGGTTGTGTTGTGAGTTGAAAACCAAATAAATGAATCGATGAATAAGAGACGTGCTCCACGTCCATTGGTCTCATGGTTGTGCCTCCAACACCATTTACAAAATCATCTCTCTGCTTTAGTGTCATCCTCATTACAATAATCATTTATTTTCTTTCGACTCTTTTGGATTATTATTTAGATGCACATGTAAGTATGCAAGGCCAATTTAACACAAGCATCCTTGTTCTTACATTTATTTTCCCTTTTCACAACTTAGCCATAGTGCTCCATCACCTTCTCCACTTCACAGCTTTGCCATTGCTGAAGCAGGCAAGTTTTTCCTTGGTGGAAGCTTTAGGTCTTCCTCTTCCTCCACTCTCTTGAAGTATTGCTCTATCATGCTATCCTTCATCTCCTCCAGTCGCCATGGCTTCCACTGTAATTTCAGGTTCATTGCATTATATATTACAACCACAATATAATAAATGAAGAGAGATTTTTGTCATAAACCTTTGGGTTCTTATCTTTGTCTATCAATATGGCTCTGCACCCCTGCATAAGAGAGACACGATCTTGTAATTATGTCGAAACAGTTTCAAGAGAGAAGAAGATACAAAGCGGAAACCAAACAAGACCTCCACAAAATCTTGGCTTATTTCTCCCTTCATCACATGACACACCATTCTATACTCACGGCAAAGGCACTGCCCCACCCCCTGCAATCGTCCTTCTCTTATCTGACAATATATAAACACACACACACTCAGCTCTTTTCCATCATTGTATCTGAATAGTGTGATGCGAACTAACCGATCTAAGAGAGATTTTAAGGCTTGCTGGTGAAGCCTTTTTCAATGCTCGAATGGTGGCTGAGATCCAATCATCAGTGGCCTCTCTCTCCTAAGCAGTACATGCGATGGTAGGGTGCACCGTCAAAAGGTATACTAGTCAACTTAGCATCGCAAGGCAACATATCAACTATATCGATGGAAAACTCACAAGTGCAGCTATAATTTCTTCCACTGTTCTCTCCGAGAAGCACGTATCGATAACATCTAGCCTGGGTAAAGAAACAAACGGGAAGATAAGAAACAACTGTCCTCTGTTTTTTTTATCTGCACAAATCTTCCATTCAACTTCTAATGAGAAATGGATTCGCTAAAGATCAATTGAAAGCTGACACAAGTCGGAATTTCCAAAACATGTTATGTAATCATGATCAGTAAGAGAGCAAATGTTTTAGCATATGACAAAGAATGCGTGCGATTTTGGCATGACAAAATAATATATTCAACAAACTCCGGTACAACAGAAAGAAGTAGAGATATTATCATATACACTTGCCTGTGGTAAGCACTCTGCTGTTTCAGGTGCGGGTTCTGAGAGTATGCATCGAGAATTGTTGAGGTAAAGGTCGGATCACTTGAATCAAATCTGCAAAGATCTGCTTCCAATGCAGTCAACCTCTGTGACAAGGAGTAACCAAAAACATTCTTAGGAAGAACCAAAAAAAAAACATGTCAATTTAGCATTATGTGGAAAAACCAAAAAAAATGTAAGCAAAGAAATTTCATACGGTTGAAGGCACATAATGAGTTGCAAGACCACAAGCCAGCATCTCAGCGCCATCCAACCTAGCTCCTGTGAGGCCAAGATACTCTCCTAAACAAGGAAGAAAGGAAGGGCCTAAAAAAAATTGTGGAGTTAAGAAGGAGAAGCAAAAACAAATGACATAATATGTTACCAAAAAATCCAGGGAGCCTAGACAAGAAGTAGGAGGCGCCTACATCGGGAAAGAGGCCCAGAGATGTCTCGGGCATGGCAAAAAGCTAGGAGAAACGCAAAAGATATGAGCAAACTTGAGAGGCATCTATATGTCATAATACATTGGACATGGAATACTATACCGTGTTCTCAGTTGCAATACGAAATCGACCATGGACAGAGACACCAGCTCCGCCTCCCATGACAATACCATTCAAAATTGAAACCTGGAAAAAGGAAGAGATGAGGTTATAAAATAACAATATGAGAGTAATTCACTGAGAGTAGGGTAGGGTGGGACCTGAGTTTTGCTATAGGTGGCCATAACATAGTTGAGAATGTATTCAGCGGAGAAGAGCTTGGCACCGAGTCTCCAATTGCCTAGTCCAACGGAAATAGAGAAAGTGAAGCAGAAAGTAGAAATAAAAGGAAAAGAAAGATGTATACGACGACATACCTTGTTGGATGTCACGAACAACAGCTGAAACATCACCACCAGCACAAAAGGCTCTTCCCTGACCCTGTGGCAAAAGTTATTCCACTGTTTTGTTTTGTTTTGTTTTGTTTTGTTTTGTGTGTGTATGAAAACAGAAGAGATAATAAGGACAGTGATTACCTACCTTAAGGATAACAAGTTTCACACTAGAGTCCTCCTCATATTCAAGGAACAGTTGCAGCAACCGAGAGATCTGGAGAAGATGGATTGAGTAAACTAATTGCGCAAATAGGGGAGGAAGATTCAAAGTAAAAATTCATTACCATTTGGAAGGACAGAGCATTCAGCTGCTGTGGTCTGTTGAGTGTCAAGATTCTAACACTCGATTTCTCTTCCACCAAAACCTGTGACAAAAATGATTCAGTGGCAGTGGGGGATGAATTGATCGTCATCGAGACCTGAGAGGCTGAGAAAGAGAGAGAGAGATGATCTGAGACTTGTTGTTTATTATTTCAAAGCTTTCGGAAAGCTTATTGGTTGTTTTAATTTTATTGGGCCTTTGTGTTGAGTATTATAAAAACTATAGTAATTATCTGTGGGCCTGATTGGCTTAGCCTTGGGAGATCAAATCCAGTTTGCCTTGAATCAGAAACTGCGATCAGTCAGATGGAGGAGATGGAAGGCAGACCGGGAGTTTTCGTCGTCGGTTCCTCGGGTGTCGGAAAGCGCACCCTTCTCTCTCGTACGTGCTTCGATCCGATTTTGTTTATGTTTTTTTGATCTAGTCTAGGGGTTTCCGTTTCTCTGAATCTATTTTGGGGGGGATTTTATTCACAGGATTGCTCTCTGTAGATTTTGAGGATTCATCATCTCAAACAGAAGTTCATGGGTAAGCACTTAGGGATGTGTAATATCCAATTTGCTGAAAAGAAGAAGAATTTCAATATTTTATTGAACTTTATTTATGTGTGGGGCAGATGGACGATTAACACCAAGTATTACTCTGCGGATGTATCTGTTTGGATATCACATATTTGCGATGATGACCACTCTTCTCTCCCTCGCTCACATCCACTTGTGGCCTTAGTTATGGTCTTCGACTTGACTGAGGTGGTTGACATTCATACCCCCTCTCCCTCTCACTCTGACTCCTCCTTCTTCTCACCCTTACATTATTTTGCAGCTGTCAACTCTTGTTGCTCTTCAAGACTGGGTTTCTCATCATGCGGCCGACATCACCAGTTTTGATATATTGTTGTGCATTGGGAACAAAGTTGATCTTCTCCCTCATCACCCAGCTCATGATGAATATAGAAGACGTCTTTCCAAACCAACTTCCTCCTCTACAAATCTGTATTCAGACATTGATGAGTTTGGGATCTCCGAAAGTGAAGGAAGTAGGCTGTTGGGGAGCGACGATACCTCACTCGATATCAGGGGAACATGTCTTGACTGGTGCCGCGACAACAACATCGAGTTCATTGAGGCTTGTGCATCCAATCCTGATTTTGACATCTGTAAGTTCACACAATCCCTTCCCTAACCAGGATTGCTGCAATATGCACATTTTCATTAAAAATTAAAATATCATGTACACATTCTATGGGTATAAAATGAACGGAGAAATGATATGATCAGAGAATTAATCCGTGTAGGTTTATCAGTCGATGGGGATTCTCAAGGGGTTGAACGTCTGTTTGGTGCTCTTTCCGCACATATGTGGCCTGGAATGATTCTGAAATCGGGTGATAAGATAAATGAACCGGTCTTACCTCCTGGTGAAGGTTATTTTGCTCCTCCTTTCGTTTTCTTCTCCCATATATATATATTGTCAGGGGACTCATTTTGATTGGATCTTGTATTCTTCTCCTCCTTGTCAGAGTTGTCAGAAGAAGAATCTGAATATGAATTGGAGTATGAAGTACTATCATCAGGCTCAGCCGATCCATGGGAAAATATTGATGAGAGATGGGTTTCCGCAAGTGAAGCGCATTCATACGTAGATGCTGGCGGATCCACCTCACGGGAGGTAGAAAATAATGTGGTGAATCCAAACAAAGTTATGGATGAAGAGCTGCGGTCTTCAGGGACACTGACTGAGACTGTAGTAACAACAGATCAGAAACCTTTGGGCACAGAACACGACAAATTTTATGAGTTGGAAGACGTGGAACAGTTGATGTCAGAAATAGGGAACATCCGTGACAACTTGCGATTGATGCCTGATTTCCAGAGGAGGGAAATAGCTGCAAATCTAGCGATGAAAATGGCTTCCATGTTTGGAGGCGACAGTGATAACGAGGAAGAATCTGAGTGAGCCCGTTTATATCAAGTATCTCTGAAGATCAGCAACATGAACCACAGTTCAATCCTTTCTTTATGAATTTTTTTTTTAAATCAGAATGAGTTTCATGCTGTATGACAGACTCTGGCAGTAATACTAAGCAATTGCACGCTCTAATGTGAAGCTAGTTAGCTATTATAGCTATTTTGGGTCGACATGTTATATATCTCATTACTTTTTCTCTTGATGTTTACTGTAGTCTTGGAGCTCTAGATAATATAGCCTTTTACAGACATCCTAGTTGGTAACACTGGCAATGCAATCATATTAGTGCACAAGTCTAGTTGAATCCTAGAAGTATCAGCTCTGTGTCCATTTCATACATGTTAATTTTTTTAACCAAAAAGACAAGAGTAGGAAACACATTCTTCATTCTTCATTTGATCATCGTTAGTAGCTGGACCCTACCATGGACTTGGCATCGCAGACTGGAAGGATGGTGTTTCATATATTTTAAGTTGGGTATTATAAACAAACAAATATTAATATGGTCAAACTTGACCATCTCTGGAAAATGTTAGTTTATACTCCATATGTTATAACCACAAAGTAAAATGGTGGAAAGAAGACAATGAAATTTGTTTATATATATATATATATATATATATATATAAATACATACGGGGTGCAGCAACTAGACCATGACGCATCTTGCATTGATTCCGTCAACATTAACCTGAGAGGATACCAAAAGCCTCTCGTCCCTTTACCCTCAAATTTTGATACTCCATGTATTTCACATGTGATGTGCACCATTTGAAGGCAACATTACCCAGAAGCCAACTTGTTCTTATAATCCTTTTTTTTTTTTATGCCTTCTCCTCCTACTGAAAAGTTGGACTCATCTTCTTCATCTAAAACTCACTCCTCTGTTTAATATATATACCTATTATCTCTCTCTCTCACCATTCTACAAAGACAGACAGAAATATCAACTCTATCTTACATTGCCTGATTTTCCTTCTTCTGCAAGAAATACAACAACAAAAAATTAGGGATGGGTTTCTTAGAGTTGTTAGAGGTGGCTTCAATGCCAATCGTTCAAGTTCTCCTAATCAGCGTCCTTGGTGCTTTCTTGGCAACTGATTACTGCTCTCTTCTTTCCGCTGACACCCGAAGATCCGTGAACAAGGTATAACGTAGGCTCCATATATCTGCTCTTTTTGTGACCATTCATGCAGCACTAATAATTAATATATATATATATATATCTTTTGCAGCTCGTCTTCGTGGTCTTCACCCCCTGCATCATGTTTGCCAATCTTGCCCAGACTGTCACATTGCAGGATATTATTTCATGGTACGTACGTACGGTACCACCCTTCTTCGTCGTGAGAGACCTATAATTATATGGCTTGATGATTTGATTTCAAACAAATCAACTTTTCAGGTGGTTCATGCCCATAAATGTTGGCATCACCTTTCTAGTAGGAGGTATTCTTGGATGGTTGGTTGTGAAACTGCTGAATCCCAAACCTCAACTTCGTGGTCTCATAATCGCTACATGTGCCTCAGGTAAAATATTTTTTTCTCGAATTTTACATCAGCGAGATTCATGATGAAATCTTATATATATATAAATGAATGATATTTTGACGTAGGCAATATGGGAAACCTTATGCTTATTCTGGTCCCTGCCATTTGTGATGAGGAAGGCAGTCCTTTTGGGAATCGAAGTGTATGCAGATCCATTGGACTATCCTACGCTTCTTTCTCTATGGCCGTAAGTCAAACCAGTATATACCTTCGTCTCTGCTCAGAATTTTGTAACTATAATCGTGACTTCCTTTTTCATTTTTGGTCTCATGCAGCTCGGGGGTTTCTATATATGGACATACAGTTACCAACTTGTGAGAAGCTCTGCTACACAATTCAAAGCTCTTGCAGCCTCCGGCTTGGTCTTAAAGTCTGCCAACAAGGACATCGACTCTGATCCCCGCAGTCTTCTCCTAAAGCCGCAACAAAACCAAGACATTGAAATCCAAGTGAAAGAAAAGGTGTCTACTAGGACATACGTCAAGGACTTGCTCCATCAGATTATTGAGGAACTCTTCGCGCCACCCACTATTGGTGCCGTAAGTAAAAAAAAAAAATAAATGTATATGCATAATTTCATTTCTCAATACTAAAAAAAAAAAAAAGCACTATTTCATCAGTTTTCTGTTGCATTCAGATTCTTGGTTTCGTCTTCGGAGCAACCAATTGGCTGAGGAATCTTATAATAGGGGAGAATGCCCCATTGCGTGTCATCCAAGATTCAGTGAAACTACTTGGGTATGAACTTGCTTGCGAGCTTAGAACTTTTTTTAGGGTATGAAAACATGCATCACGACTTAGAACTAATATATAGTTGATTTATTTGGCAGGGACGGCACAATACCTTGCATCACACTCATACTGGGGGGCAACCTGATTCAGGGTCTGCGTTCCTCAGCCGTGAAAACCTCAGTGATTGTGGGAGTTATCTGTGTGAGGTATATCATCCTTCCAGTGGTGGGTGTAGGGGTGGTTCAGTTAGCTTGGAGTTTAGGCTATCTTCCTCCAGACCCTCTCTTCCGATACGTTCTCATGCTTCAGTTTACACTGCCGCCTGCTATGAATATCAGTAACTATCCCCAACATTCATTGTTGTCTAGCTAATATAAATAGAGAGGGGGATAATATGAACCAATCATTTGTGTTGTGGGTTGCAGGTACAATGGCACAGCTGTTTGACGTGGCTCAAGATGAGTGTTCGGTCATCTTTTTGTGGACCTACTTGGTTGCATCCTTAGCCCTCACCATGTGGTCAACAATATTCCTCTCCATCCTCTCCTGAAAAGAGCAAATGGAGTTGGTTGTATTTGATTGATTTGTTTATACTTTTGAGTGCTAATGTTTGCCAAATAAAAAGCAGAGAAAGACACAAGTACCCCAAGTCTCGTCTCTGTGTTTTTTGTTGGGCTATTTCTAGAAGTGAGGAGGGTCCATAGAGCGATCCCAAAGTAGAAGGAGAGGCGTGTTGAAGCTGCTGGGCACAGAAAGAAACGTACTTGCTCGCACCTTTTCAGAAACTTGATACATTTCTACACACTTGTCCTCTCCTCATTTCCTATCGTTTGTATTTTATATACATTATTTTAAAAATATATTCCTTCCCACAACTCATAACTAATGGGTCCATTAAATGAAATAGGTTAAGCCAACATAACATGTGTCGGGGAACTAATAGGATAGAATGATAATATTAGTCGATCTTTACATCATTTTAAAAGGAAAAGATCAAAGGGGCAGAGTATCCAAATCCAACCGTGGAGCTGAGTAGCAAATTTGGCTGTCAGGGCCTTACACTGAGATTTGTAGTTAAACCACTTTGCGACAAAACTATCAGTCAATTGCTATGATGCAAGAGAGTAGTTGTAAGGCACACACAACAATACTAGACGTTAACTTGTACATGTTCTTTTTTCTCCCGTTTTTATTTGGTTGAGGCGCAAAGTACAAATTTATTACATCCAAACAGAATCTCGCTTAAACTTTAGTCGGCGGCAAAAGCCACTCTAAAACTGAAATCAATCAATGATTAAATGATCCATGAGAGGAAACAAAGGCACGCTATGGGTTATCTCAAGGTCTGGGATTGTGCAGACGAGGCCTGTTGCAGAAGATCCGGCCGTTGGCCCTCATGAATGCCGCAACAGCCACACTGATGCCCGCCCACACCAATGAGAAAAACAAGTGCCTGTAATCACTCCCAGCTGCACCAAAAGACACCATTTATTTCTCAGGCCATTATTATTCCTACTCCATATCCTGAGAACAGGCGTACCTCGTTTCACAGACATTGTTGCAAACCATAAACAGACCAGAACCACAGCCAATGCCACTGGAAAGTTCTGAGGAATCAAGAGGTATTTTGATATTAGACCAGTATGTATAGCTAAATATCCTTAGATAGTTTTGATATCTTTAGCTAATGAATGCTTACGGCTACAGCCTCAAGACCTCCTTTTCTAGGCACAGTAGCCATATCTCGGTTAACAGCAACTATATAGTGTCCTTGCACAAGATCAATCGCATCCTTTGTTCCCAACCAAGATTATCAACAGTCAGTACATGCTTCAGTTACCAAGTGTACAAGCCATGGTTAGAGCCACCAACCTGCTTAGTTCCATCAGCAAAGTTGTTCAGGTAGTAGCGTGCGAGGGCATTCCAGCCATCGTTAAGGACCCCTTGAACAGTCCTTCGACCATACCTTATAATTAATTAAACCAGTTTGCGCGTGTTTAGTGAACTTATGAAAAGTTAGATGGCATGAGGAATCAATATACAAACACTCTTCCCCTGGTGAATAAATAATTGCGTCCTACCTGACAAAATCTCCTTTAAGTGCAGGAGTGCCGGAGTACTGAATGCTAATGTCATCACCGTGATTAGCCCATACTGAAGGCAACACCAAGCACCACAATGTAAGTTTCTTTTAAGAACAATTATTCTCTAGAGCAAAACCAGATAACATCTTCTACGAGAATTAGCTACTAACATATTTTGTAGCGCTCGTCAAAATTTAGATGCGAGCTTATGGCTTCTTCGGCGCCAAAAACACCAATCCTTCTGAGTTGAAGTTCCAGCATCTTGCGGCCTATCATGCTCTGCATAATATACCTTAGGATAAGCAGAGAGAGAGAGAGAGAGAGAGAGATGTAACAAAGAGAAAAGAAACATCATATTGTTTTAAAACTAGCCTGCGTGACATTTGTGCGGTCTAAGCAATCTATGCAGTTAGTGCGCACGATACCAGACTGCTCCTTCATTTTCTCACCCTTTTCGTTCAACAAAAAGTACCTGTGATCGATCAACATTAGTTTAGTTAATTCCATAAAACTCCCAAGACTAAATGCGAGGTGTGGGAAATAATACCCGTTTTTCTCAAGGAAATCCTCCATCTGCTCATACAGAATTGATAAGCGCTCAAAGTGAATATGCCCACATATGTGATGAAAATCAAAGTGCAGGTATCTACAGGATCCAAGTGAATACATATATCCCCGAGTGAGTTTGATAAGAGTTTATAATACGGTGAAATATTTATGTAGTAGCAAGGGGATATTTTTATCAGAGGAACGGATATCTACCTTACATCATCACCAGTGATGTGCTGCATAGCACCTGCAAACCTCTCGCTTAAGCGCCCCTCACCTCCATGCTGGTTACAGAAGAAGCGATTGAGGAATAATAATTTCAAGTACAAACAGCAAACGGAAGGAGTTTCGCATCCAAAGTCATTCAAAAGGATATAATATGCACCTTATTGACAAGATCAACAGCCAAAACTGATCCATATTTTTTCCTGAGGTCTAGAAAGTGACGCTCAGCTATCCTCGCCTGCAAGAGGAATCCCTTACTTAAAAGTGGTAAACATGCTAATTTTAAGGCGCGGTGAACTAGATATTACACTCACAGCTTCTTCAGGTCGGACAATCTCAAACTTGGGCTTGTAGGTCAGATCTACAATTTGCTCCCACATAAAAGGCATGGATCCTCTAATCTGCGGAAATGTAAAACGATAGGAGAATAAAATCATGACATGTCCAAAGATTTGTAGGGTAGGGGAATCATAACTATCACCTGAGCAAATGATGATGTGTATCCGTTCATGTGTACAATTTGCTCACTCTCCACAAAATTAGCAACATAACCATCAGGGTCAGCTCCTCTGCGCCACATGCGTGTACCTTGCAACGCAAGACACAATCACAACCTATGCATAGCACCAGGTAGAAAAACAAGCTAGAGAGAAATGCATACCATTTCTTCTGGTGCACCTCCTAGCAATCAGAGTAATGTCAACGATATCTCTTCCAATGGCTGTTTGAAAACTATGGAAACGTGTTAAGAGGTTAAGGAAATGTCTGAAGTCAATGATCCAGGAAAAAGTTTCGAGTACGAAAAATCATGATCCTGAAAAGGGACTGATATAATAAAGGATATTTCCTTGAATTACTGGAAGCAAGAATGGATCAAGCTACAAAATGAAAAACAACAAAAGGTGATATTATTTTGCAAGTGAGGCAAACAAAAACAGCGAACTTAAAAGGGAGCCAAGAATAGTTCACTAACCTTATTATCGATAAGAACTTCTAACATATAATTGTTCCAAAGAAATCTAGGCTCAGCCTACCATATAGAAACAGAGTTAATTTTTTGTATATCTACATACAAGCAACCAGGAAATAATATGTATGGACTAGTGTTGTATAAGTGAATATGTATGAACTAGTGTTCTACATGGGGACACCTGTCTCCACAGAGGAAGCGACTTAGACTCATCTCCCAAATCATGCAAGCGCTGTGCACTGAAATAACCAATAAAACAAAACATAAAACGTAAAAGCAAAGAAGAAGCACATACATGATTAGCCACTGGAAGTGATTTTTCGGTTCTCTCAGAGTAGCACGAAGAGAAATGAATAACCTGAGAGTCAAGTTAATTTCATATGAGAAGTAGAGCCCATTTGTATTCTCCGCGACACTTAGCAGCCTAGAGAAGTCAGTCTCCACCTTTTTCTGCAGAAATGATTCTCATTGTTGATTGCTGTTCGTATGAATATACAAAATACAAGATGGAAGACGGAGTAGATCACCTGTTCTTCAGGCGAGTTTTTAAGTGAATGATCACAAGGAAGAACCTTGAGGGACTTAATTCTGAAAATAGGATGCTCCAGAAACGAGCCAACAGATTCGCTCTCTGTCACCACCACCAGGTATGATCCTGACAATAACCAAAATTCATTTGTGTGGGTCGAATGAAAATGTAGAGACATTCACAATATTGACCACAAAGGCGAATATGTAGTAACCTGCCAGGAGCTTCAGCATCCCAACGACACCGAAAATGGAACGGATCTTAGGGACACGCAAAGAGTTGCATTCAGCGACTTGATCTGAAAGCAGGAAAGTAGCAGAACTGAGAGAAGAGCAGACACAAGACGTAATTGGAAAGAGAAAGGCAGAAAAAAAAAAACAAACCAATGAGCTTCATGGAGCCGTCAAGACGACTAATATCCAAGCATGGAGCGGCCGAACCATCAGTCGGCTCGATAACGTACTGATCAGGGAATTCCCATAAACGCAAGCGAGAATGTAATTTGTGCCTATGAGCCTCCATCGCCAACACAATACAGAGGATCAATCAATCACTCAATCTGACCTGACTCTCTGTAACAGAGAAATACGGAAATGGAATACAATACATCCCCGAAGGTTGAGGCAGTGACCCGTTCAAATTTATTCCGCCGAACCCGCCTTTTTTTAACTGAACTAGTATACCCCCATAAAAATAAAATCAAGTCCAAAGCTAATTTGCATTATTGACTTTGTCATTGATCTGATTCAGCAAATTATCTGTTTGAATTTCAATGGCCCAACTCAATTCAATTTCCTTTTCAGAAAAAAAAAACATCTGGACAATGTGTTTTCTTGGCTTTTAACGTTCATTACACAAAACGAATGAAATTTTCTTTTAAAAGACAAGTAATATATGTATCTTCTAATCTTGGCCCAAAAAGAATGTGATGTTGCTCTCGTCTCCAGTGTCCAGTGCCCACCAATCAAACTAGGAAAACGAGAATCTTGAGAAGAGGGACAGACCTGAACCTTCACTTGTCGCACCACCTAGACTTGCTTCCGTTGTTGTTGGCGTTGTTGTTGTTGTTGTTGAGCTATGGTACGCTTGCTGACACTTCTGGATCTGCCATTTCCGTCACACATGGTTAGTTTTCTTTTAGTTCAACAACAACAACAAAAATCCAGTAAGTTCCAAGCCTAAGATTTAACCTCCTCCGGACTGAACTGAAGCAACATTCCCACTACCGGTAGTAAAGCTTCCACTTCACCTGCAACCATACACATGTTATTTTTCCCTACATCAACAACTTGTGTCTCCACAGCTTTGTTTTCTGCTTACCTGTTTCTAACAGCTTTAAAATCACATTCTTTAGATATGTCATATCTACACCTTCTCTCTTCTGTTTTCTTTCCATCTCCCTCAACTCCGTTTTTAGCAATGCTTCCTGTCATCCCCAAAGTTTGAAACAAAGACGGCCAAAAGAAAAAAAGAAACTATCGACTCTCCAAACTCTCGTGTAACTACATACTTGTTGACTGCGAAGCCGGTTTTCGCGCTCAAGCTCCTCGATTTCATCCTGACTCAGAATAAACAGTTCTTTAAATAAGTGATACAAGGGCAGAAACATATTTGAATAGATACGATCAATTCTAAGATACCTGAAGAGCTAAAATATGCCGCTGTGTCTGTGCTAATTCTTCTTCTCTCTGAGCTTGTTGCCTTGCCAATATCTTAAATTTTAATATTATGTGTTAGTGATTAGCTCTGAATCATTAATTTGAATGAGAATTATATTCTAGGATTAAAGGTCAGTCCTTGCTTAGACAAGCAGAAGGTTAACATTACAAACTCCTACCAGAATCTGGTGTTCTGCTGCAGACGTGCTCAAGTTAGATACATCTTCCTGTTTTGACTCTGAAACACCGTTTCAAGAAAAGAGAAAAACAGGTTAGCTGATTCACTCATATGGGAGCTCCTCTTTTGCAATAAAAATGAAAACCAGAAAGAATCTCATACCTGTGTTGTTGTTCCCATAGTGGTGAACCTGAAATGGAGTTTTGTTCCACTTAGTGCCACATGAAGAGTGCAATATTCAAGTGAAAAAAGGAATGAAGCAAATCTACGTACTACTGGTTTTGATTCCATAGAGTGTCGAAGGTTTTTATTTTCATCCACGAGTCTGGATATCTCTCGATCCTTCTCCTCAATGAGTCTATCTGCAAGCTCACGTACTGATTCATGCTCCTCCTGCAGGTATGTCAGTCAAACAGCGAGCCTCGCCAATTTTTCTTATAAAGCCAGAGCAAAATTACCAGGATAACTAAAATTGAACTACCTTCAGTCGTTTATTCCTCAGCTTAGTATCTTCTAGTTCTTTTTCAAGAACTTCTGCAGGAGAGGCTTCATTTTGAGCGGTTAAAGTTTCACATCTTCCTGTAGATTATTACAACCTTTTAGAAAGAGAATTTAGTCTCCAAGAACCAAAGAAGAAAATCGAATTTTGATTTCACTCAATTACGTCGCCATGTTTCTTCTAAAACTCGAAGGTCTTCTTCCCACGCTTGTTTCTCCGCCTGATTGCGAGCAACAGTGGAATCAAGCTTCAATTCAAGACTTCTGATCTGCTCGCTGGCATCTTTAAGTGCTCCAGCTCTGAAATAGATATGAAAAAGATCAGAGTACAATCAGCCGACCTTTGCACGCTTGAAAAACTCCCCTGAGAATTATTTTTCAGTTGTTTTTTCGGTAAAAAAAATTAAGGGGTATGAAAGCCAAAGCCTCCGGAATCGAACTTACGAAAGTAAAAATCATCGCCAATACATACCTTTCCTCGAGTTCTTTCTCAAGGCTAGCTAAAGCCCCCTGAAGATCTTGCCGTGCCCTATCCCTCTCTGCAGATACTAAATATACTTCTTTTTCGGCTTCCTAACACCACACAAAAAATATTATTAGTTGGTAATAAAGTTGATAACCATCTAATTAACTCCACCTTACAGTTCAAGATAACTTACCTTTAGAGCTTCCTCAAGAGATTTGATCTGTTCAGAGTCTTTGGCTGCAGCCAGCTCCATGTCCTTCTTTTGAAGAAGCGCGTGAGCACGGATCTTGTAAGAAGAAAATTCACTTTGGAGACGGTTGATCTGCGAAGAGTTACAAAAACTCAATATAATTAAGGTGAGAGAAGCTTCAGCAGACCATTCCTTAAAGCTCACAATGACTCTTTGATTCCGTGTTATTCATGTTATGAGATTGAAAATGGATGACTAAGACATCCGTTCGTACACAAGCAAGGAACACTATATCTCAAAAGAACAAAAAAAAAACTATGTACCTCTTCTCTTGCACCTTTGAGTTCAGCATCTTTAGTGCTTAGCATCTGGCTCTGCATGGACATTTCAGACCCCAGCTGACCTGACCATTTATATGAATAAAATGTATATATTTTCATTGAAAAAATTAACATATAGGTTTCATAGTTTCATAAACTCTGTAAATTACTTCTCATTTTAGCCACTTCGGTTTCTGCACGTAAGCAGTTGCTTTCGGCGATTTCCAGTTTAGATTTAAGGGCATCACATGAAGCTTCCCAAGACTCCTTTTCTTTTTCCTGGAGAAACAAAACAAATTCATAGAAGAAAGTATAAAAGTTTATACGGCCAAAGAACCTTGAAACTCCAATGTCCGATGGCTAATGACTGACGCCATAGATCACATTTACAGATATTTATACGTACTAACATGTTCATTCTCTGGTTTAATCACTACTAATAAATCTCTAGATTAGATTGAACTCTGACCTATTACGTAAAACAAGTACTTAGAATATAGGAATGAGCAAACAGACAGGAGAAATATATGGCATCAGACTCCTGGGAATCTATCATTTAAAAAATCCACTTACGTTCTCCGCTTTAAGGTGTGCAAGCTCTCCTTTAAGAGTTTCTGCAGCAGCCCTTAACCTTGCTGCTTCGCCAGTTGCAGCTGCCTCCATCTCTGCAATTTTAGATTCCTTCTCTGCAAGTAATACCTAAAAGACGTGTAAAATGGAAATACTTGGTGTGAAGAATTCATCACAGATTGCAAGCTTAGGAATTTAGTTCAGGACTAACCTGCAGGGTCGAAATGTTTTGGGCTGCTTTGTCCCTCTCAGATAGAGCATCTATGACCTGTGCTTCCAAACTCTCTAAATTCTGTCAAGAAGGAAGAGATAAGAGAAGAGCTCGGTTTCATTATCTTGCAATGGAAAAAGGCAATGGTGTCGCATAGCACATAAGAAGCAACATAGTTAGGCTGATGCTGACTACCTTTTGATGTTTGGCTGACAACTCAGTAACTGCAGTTTGCTTCCTCTCTTCCACGGCTTGTAATTGGTTTTTCAGGTCCTCCAGCACCTAAAATTAAAACAAGGAAGCATATGAAGCACAGCCATACATTCCTCTCTCTCTCTGTCTCTTTCAATGAGTCTCTGCATTTCTAGTGATTGCAGGAAATGAAAGAGATCAGACCTGATCCTTATCAAGAAGTGACTGTTGCAATGTCTCGATCTTATTTTCTTTAGGCTGCAATGAGCCACGTAGTTCCTCGATAGTATCCCTGAGCCTGTGTATGGGAATATAAGAGAAAAATCAAGTACAAAAGATAACACTGGCTTGATACAGTTGAGAATCAATAGCAAGAGCAGAAGAAAATAATAATTAAAAAAAAAAGGCTGTATGTCTATCTTAATGTTATATACTTGTTATTGGCACTCCTTAGTTGTTGCCTCTCCGCATCCATAGCTTTGAGTGCTTCATTAGCCTGTTGCCTAGTGCGTTCCAGGTCTAGCTGCATGGAAGAGTGCTGCGAAGACGCTCGTTCAGCTGTTTCACTCACTTCCCGGAAACGAGCATCGAGATCGTCTTTTTCCTGGAGATAGCACAGAGACAGTGTAGCAAAAGTGGGTTAGGAAACTCAAAAGTGGGTAAAAAGAAAGCATGAAGGTTAAGTAGAGAAGAAATGGACCTTTTGAATTTCTTGAATGCGTTGTTTAGCCCTTTTGTGAAGCCTGGTGAACTTGGCGTCCAGGTCGGCGTATTTCTCTTCGCGCTCTTTGATTTCCTGCTCCAGTTTCTGCTGAACTACACAGCAAAAGAGAGAGGGAAATAAAGAAAAAATGCAAGCATGACAGATCGATCCCTGGTTCCTTGGAAAATAAATGGGGAAAAACCTTGAGAAAACTTGGAGGAGTATTCTTGGGCTTTTGCATCAGCCTCAGAGTATGCTTCCCTGAGATGCTCAAGAGCTTGCTCAGCTGCAACTCGAGTTTGTTTTTCTACATCAATTTCTCTAGTCAATGATTCCAGCCTTTCTTCAAGTTGCACTTGATCAATACTACTACTACTACTTTGCTCCTTAAATTGGGATCTGAGAAAGTCATTCTCTAATCTCAACTCAGCAATCATTTGCAGTAGCTCATCAGGAGTGCCACCATTTTCTGTCTCATCCACGGATTCTGCAATCGCATCTGTTTCCCCCTTGTCTTCGGACATCCTTGGCAGATGTCTCTGATTTCAGAGAGTGTCCGAGCTCTGGTAAAGAGTAGAAATCGCCATATCAACAATCAAACTAGAAAGTGGATGTGATGGTTAAATGGATTTAAAAAAAAGCTTACCACCTTGAGATGAGGGATCTGATGATGCTGCGAGGGATTGAGCGTGTGATCGATCGCCAGTGACGCGATTTGGTGGATCTAAACCAAGCTGAAAGGTGGACAAAACGACGCCGTCCTGCCGTCAACCAGTTTGTGAAAACATAAAGCCCATTGAGCATGATTGGTGAAATAAAAAGCCCATTCAGAGTTATTTGTAAAGCACAAGGCCCATTTTGCATGATTTGTAAAACATAAGGCCCATCCAGCATGATCATGGCCCCAGCGTATGACCATGAGCGTTGACTTCTCCGTCCCAAAATGATAGATATGAGATGATTGACATCCAGATCCGTATAGTGTTTCAGGTCCAGTTATAATATGGCGGAGGGGAGAAACAGAGTCCCAACATCGGTGTCGGTCACAGTTGCCCACGAACTTCTTCTAGCCGGCCACCGTTATTTGGACGTCAGGTACGTACCGCCAGCCTTTCTCTTTTCATTTCCACCGACAGAGAGAGTCAGAGAGGGATAACTACTTTTTTAGACATTTGAAATATCAACATGGCAGCAGTCTTTCTTTAGAATATACCCAACTCTTGCTACTTGTATGATAATAGGACTTCAGAAGAGTTCAGCCAGGGACATGCCACTGGGGCGATCAACGTTCCTTACATGAACCGTGGAAATTCAGGTATTATTTTGGATTTGGCTAGTTTCTTTTTCTGTTGTTGTTGAAGAAGTGTCTTGTTCAGTTTTTACCAAACAAAAAAAAGAGTGTCGTTGTTGAGTTGCTCTGTTTGTTTGTACTTTGCGACTGCAAAATGCAGGGATGTCAAAGAACCCCAACTTCTTGGAACAAGTCTCCTCCCATTTCGGACAAGCCGATGAGGTCATCGTGGGTTGCCAGGGCGGGGGAAGATCTTTGAAAGCCACGGCTGAGCTTCTTGATGCTGTAACACATCCCAACAAAACTCTTTCTAACTTTGAAGCTTATCTTGTGATCTTAGTTTTAGTACTATTTGGGAATTACTGCAGGGTTTCACGGGCGTCAAAGATATCGCCGGTGGCTATTCTGCCTGGACCCAGAATGGTCTTCCTACACAAGACTGATGATGACCCACCAGAACATAATGTCTTTATCTTCTACTTTGATAATAAATACATCAGGACTGTGTGTTCCTCATGTAAAATGAACTACTCTCTCTTCCACTGTGTGCTTGCTCATATGACAGCTGTTGTGCCCGCAACTTATATATATACGTGTGTGGTGTGGTGTTGTGTTGATTGCATTTTAATATATATATATGGTTTGAAAATCGAGAAGGAATTGCGAAGTAATGAGAGGGCATGCGATCAAGTTGTTGAGTTAGGTGCAGCAGAAAGTAACCGGAAAAAGAGGTCGGAATTGAGCTGCCGTACCAAATCCCAAAGAAAACAATGAATATAATAGGCTTACACTGCATGCTGATGACATGTCTTTCTTGTTATGATTCGGCCACACAATCTACCTAACATTGCAGTATTTTAGGTGGATTGTGTATTGTTGTCTGCTTCTCTTCATACATTTTATTTACCAATTCATTTAGAAACTCACATACACTGAAAAGAAAAGAAAAAGAAATGCATTCATTGTCTTCTTCCATTTACATTTTTTACACTTTCGCTCGGATATTCATTTTGTCTTTGGTACTTTCCTCATAATACCATCAATCAACGCCCTTACTCTAAAATTACTACATGCGATAGGGATACTCATCAATCTAAGCGCATCTTATATTTCTCCTGAGTCCTCTCCATACCCTTTTCATCACACTTGCATTCTTTTGACCCAAGCCTTATCTACACTCCTTTCCTTTCGTTCCTCCTATTCTTTCCCTAGTCGTAGCTCTCAGGAGTTGCTAAACCCTCGTGTACAACTGAGCTGTAATTAAACCGGCTCTATTATCAATATCAGCTTTCATTATTGCCTCTCAATTGGGATTTCATATATCACCAACCATTATCTACTCACCTCGAGTTCTGAAGCTTCTTCAATTTGTCTCTCCACATCGCTACATCCCAGAAAAGAAAATATTGAGTAGTTTGCAAAGCAGACTGAACATACATGACATAGAGAAGAGTTAGTATACCTGCATCGATGTACCTTTCCTCTTTAGACGCCAAATCCATATTCCTCACTAGTTTAAGCTCCTCCGATATGGGATCTGGTCCATCTGGAGCGCTGTACAAAAAATGCCACCATGTGGTTAGCAACTGTGACAGAGTCACACATAGTAGCAACCCAGGGGAATCATAAACAAACTAAAAACCTGTCAAGGATAACATTGAAAATGGGCTTTGTGCTCTGCGGTCTGCCTCCATAACCAATCTTGATAGCATCTTCCAGGACTATTGTTTTATTCACATATATCGGAGCCTGTAATATGACAACCAAAAACAGATTCTGTTTCAAAACTCAAGCGTGTCTGTTTGAGGGAAAAGAAAATACAAAAGGTCTGACAGATTAAACCAGCTTCAAGAGAAGAAAGCAAAAAGTGATGTGTAGCATACCTGGCATGCTCTTGCAACGTTGATGGCGTCTGATGGCCGTGAATCAATGCCTATAACATCATCGTCTCCTGGCTGCATGACAGATGGTTGGCTTAGAGCATTAAATACTTTTGAAAAAACAATCCTTAAGCAAGAGGATGCATGTAGTATTTTCAAGTTACCTTGCCGAGATATAGGCTTGCATAGTAAGTGTTGAATACTCTACTAGTAAGCTTCACCATTTTAACCTGTCAATGGTACAGTAGCAGTTCGTTAACAAAGTGGAAAAGAGCTACAAAAGCTCCAGGTCAAGGTTATTATAGTTTAAAAGAGGTTAGATGGAAGGATGCCATACTTGATGCCCAAGTTTGTCGACAAGAGCAGACACAAAGTGGAACTGATCAGGGGATTCCTAGAAACAGAAAGTAGTGTTAACAGGGGGAACTGGAACAGCAAACATCATAAGCTTCAAAGATGAGTGGGATACCTCAATGTGGCCTTGGGGTGGAGGTACATCTAATAGTTTCTCAACAGCAGCATCACCTGCAAGGAAGAACGAGGAAAGTTAACAGGAGAGAAAAGGAGAAGGTAGAAAGAGTGAATGTTGCATGCATTATTGCATACCAACAATAAGGGGAAGCAAGTAGTCGCCATCACAAGAGATCTTGAGAAAAATAGTGGGGTGCTTGAATTGGCGGAGGAAGCCAAGTCCAATAGGGAGAACCCCAACCCTGGATTCACTGGCTCGCACAGCAAAAGGAGGAATATGCCTAGAAGCTTGCCAGATGGAATCTTCTCGGAATCCATGTCTCAGCATTTTGTAATGCATACCTGTTTCTGTTAATACCATGACAAACAATTCAGCAAGTTTAAGAAAAAAAACGATCCCGTTTTTAAATAGACCACCACAATTTGGTTTCCTCATAACAAGATAAAAAGGTCTCTTCGTCTAGAGGAAACTGAAAATGAAATCACGATTGAGACCTTACACCAAACAACAACCAAAATCTGTGCTAAGAAAGCCGCATTGAGATGATGATAAAAGCGTACCTGCAACGAGGACTGAAGCTTGGAGAAACTCAAGATCGGGATCCCCCAGGCCGGATCGGGAGGTAGAATTAGAATTACAACAAATAGGAGATAGCTTATGAGAGCGTAGCGATCTGAATTTCAATTTCACTGGGATGGAACATCGAAAGGAGGAGGAGGAGGAGGGAGGGGTAGAACTGGAGGATGAGAGCGAGGCTGAGATACGACGGGAGTAGGCCGTGAAGTCGGAGAAGAAGACTCCTAGATCGGAGGAAGGAACAGATGAAAAAGCAACTCCGGGCATTGTGGTGAAGAGAGAGAAATGAAGAAAAAGTGAAGCAGAGCACAAAAGTAGAATGAGAATGGGGAAACAATGATGGAGAGAAGAAGACGAACGACTCTTTGATATTTGCTATTTTATCTTATTTATAATGTGAACCCAAGTAGATAAGGTCTATGACTATGCTTTATCTTAATTAATCAAATTTCATTCTTTTCTCAAAATATTACAACACATGGGTCTTTTCCTACTTTTATCTTTTTATTATAGTTTCAGGTTACAAGTTAGAACGATGACGTATAAAGTTAAACAATTCCTAATCATATGATTGTTCATGTTGCCCTCTAATAATCTAGAGATAATGTTCAAGGAGTTTCCACTCTCCACGGCTTCAGATAATTTTTCATGTCCGTATATTATGATGTTTTTGGGTAAACATGATTTCTACTTTGTATTTTCGGTGCGTAAACAAACGCAAAAGAAAAAAACACCGACCAAATGTGGAGAAGTGGTCCAGTGAGTGTACATATATGACTATGATTGAGAATACAGCTGCTGCAGTTAAGACGACTCATGCAGTTACCAATCTCTTGAGTCTACTACGAGGAAACTCTTTCAACATTTTCAATATTTCATATGTCCTTGTCTCTCTTCCAAGGTGGAGGCACAGGCCGATTGGAGTTAACCCATCCTAATGGAATTAGTAAAAAAACGGTATCATCAGAATCATAGTAATAATACTAATAAAAAGCGGATAAGGGGAAGGTGAAGGAACTAACCTTGTTCTTCACTTGTATGTCTGCCCCTTTTATCAAAAGAAGTTTCACGATGTCGCTTCTTCTGGCCTGTACTGCAACGTGCAGGGGCGTCCACCCGTCCTGGAAAAGAAAAGAAAAAACAATGTGTCAACCAGCTGACACAATCGTTAAGATTAAGAATGTTTTACATCATTACCCTGTCTTGAGCGTTTATCTCAGCGTTATACAGCAGGAGAAGTTTTACTGTGGGGGCTGATGCTGTCTGCACAGCATAGTGCATCAAAGTCGCACCTTCCTTAACACATAACCGAGCTGATCAGAATCTGAAGCAAAGGGAGATTATTATTATAAGGTGAGCACTTACATCATCAAGAACAAACGGGTTTGCTGATTCCCTCAGCAGGTAGTTTGTAATAGCCTGCTTTTTACCAATAATTGCTCGGTGAAGTGCTGTCAAGCCACCCTAGGTTCCACATAAGAAAATGTTAAAAATACAACTAGGAGCAACCGATTGAGATAACTCCTCCACATACCACGTCGGTAGCATTGATATCAAGGTTGTGCTTTAGCAAGGAGTCAAGCAGATAAAACTCTCCCGATGCTGCCAGTGTGTGAAGAGGAAGCCACTTTTTCTGATAAACACAATCATCATCATAAGTATGAGTAGTGCTATTCAAACTGAAAATAATTTAAAAAAGAAAAGAAAAAATCACATGGACATACGGAGGTGGCAACAGCTAGGTGAGGATTTCTGCTATTGAGCATAAACTTCTCTTCTTTTGAAAGCAGCTTCCGAGGGCCTGCGGTTAATTAAGCGAAAGATGAACCTCAATCATCATCATCTAAGCACTAAGCAAGGTGAATTAGGTGAACCTACCCTCGAGCTTCTTGCCACTAGGATCATATTTATCGCTATTGAAGAACTTGGTGACGTGGTCGAATCCCTTGCCATAAACTGCCCATCTAGGGTTCTTTGGTGCTACTCGCTCACTCGAATATGTTTCACTCCTCTCTCCCCCATCGTGGTCGTCGTCTGAGAACATTCTCGGTTTATCGAGAACAACAGGTTTCAACTGATTAAACTTGGCTTCCTTGTAGGTGAGATACTCCTTCAAGTCCACCTTCCTCAGTGGAATCAGCCCTTGTCTCTTCTTCTCCACCTTCACTCCAAACTCCAGTTCCTGCGCTATTTTCCTCTTGTCCTTCTTCGTCAGATTCACCTCCGCCTGAACATCTCTCCACTCATCCGGCACGAGGTTTTCCGGCTCAATCTCCGGCGCCGCTTCAACTATTCTCTTGGCCCTCCCCCTCCGCTTCGTCTTCCGCTCCTGGATCGCTCCAGGGGCAACAGGACTGACTTCCTCCTCAAGGTAAGGGTCTTCGAAGACGCCGTCCTCGTAGACGAGACAGTCTCCCACTGTGAAGTCATCGGCGGTATCCGGGAGAATCGAAGTTTGTGAAGAATATGAAATAGCGCAAACTCTCCTCCTGTGAATAATTCCCAGGGACTGAAGAGAATGAGAGAGTCGAGATGGAGTGGGTAGGAGCAGAGAAATGGTGGCCAGCTGCTGCATTCTCTCTCGCCTTATCGATTCTCTCTCTCTCTCTCCGGATCGTTTCCTTCTTGTCCGGTCTCGTAAAGCACCTTCGTTCATCGGGCCTAATTAAATGGGCCTGACTCAAATTTGTCAGATCCAATAGGCCTGATTCAAATAAGGCCCGAGTATGTAAAGCCTGTTCCGTCTCTCAACACTCATACAAACAGCTTGCTTGCTGCTCCAGCTCTGCTTCTTTCGGATCTAGGCGATCGATCCTTGAATTCCTTTGCAGATATGATGGCGCGACAGAGGAATAGTCGTCGGAGGACGTCTTATTCAACCCTCGTTTTCGCGGTGTTGATTATGTTCACTTTGGCGATTTTGTTCCTTCTCGCGCTTGGAATTCTCTCGCTGCCCAGCAACAATGGTGGGTCCTCCAAGGCCAATGATCTCACTTCCATTGTCCGTAAAAACCTTCAGAGGTACCAAACAATCCCGATTCAATATATAAGATCTGGGCGTGTTACTTATAATATGGTGTTGGTTTTCCCGCACAAGTGGCAAAGATGTTTCGGAGGAGAACGAGCGTTGGGTTGAAATTATCTCTTGGGAACCCAGAGCTTCTATTTACCACAATTTCTTGGTGAGTGTAAGCTAGTTGTTTACCAAAGAGTCTAAGTAGATAATCAACAATTGATTCCGTAGAGTAGTGATATGATCAATGCTAGAAAGACATTTTGAAAGAAAAGTAAAATTAGGCAAGTGATTTCATTATTTGTTGCCTTTATTCCACGGAAAAATTATATCAGCTTACTGATGGATTGGGGGACGTATGTTATTATTATTATTATTATTCCTGGTTTGTTTCTGGATAGACCAAGGAGGAATGCAAGTATTTAATAGAGCTAGCTAAACCTCATATGGAGAAGTCAACTGTTGTCGATCAGAAGACTGGAAAGAGCACTGATAGCAGGTCAAGTGAATTCTCAGTAGCTATCTTCTTTCTTCTTTTTCTCTTTTACTCACCAACCTTCTCCTCAACAGGGTGCGAACGAGTTCCGGGACATTCCTTCCAAGAGGACGCGACAAAATCATCCGTCAAATCGAGAAAAGGATATCAGATTTTACCTTCATACCAGTTGGTATGTGGTTGAAATTTTCTTAATCCCATTTCTCCCTAGGGGCAGCTATTTTTGAAGCATGTCAACATCAGCCTGACTGCTTCTTTTGATGCCTCTACTACATTCTGCAGAGCATGGGGAAGGTCTTCAAGTTCTCCACTATGAAATTGGACAAAAGTACGAGCCTCATTATGATTACTTCATGGATGAGTATAACACTAGGAATGGGGGACAGCGGATTGCCACAGTTCTCATGTACCTGTACGTAACTGACAAAACTTTGGGCTTCAACAAGATGTTGCTGTTTTCTTCTTTTCTAACGCTCTTTAGTGACTGTGCAGTTCAGATGTAGAGGAGGGGGGTGAAACAGTGTTTCCCTCAGCTAAGGGAAACTATAGCGCAGTGCCATGGTGGAATGAGCTGTCAGAATGCGGGAAAGGAGGCCTGTCCGTGAAACCAAAGATGGGAGATGCATTGCTTTTCTGGAGCATGACACCTGATGCCACTCTAGACCCATCTAGTCTTCACGGTGAGTAGATACATAAGTTTTTTAAATTGATGTTGAGATGGATTGGGAACTATGTTTGTCTACTGTGGATTTTGAGATTTCCACTTTCGGCAGGTGGGTGTGCTGTAATCAAAGGGAACAAGTGGTCATCGACTAAGTGGTTGCGTGTACACGAGTACAAGGTTTGATCTAATTACTGAGGTAAGTTTATTTAGTTCTAGCTTCATAAAGTATAAGTAGTCGACACATGGAAAAGTAGAATGTCATGTAAGAAGAATAGTATTCAAGTTGTGGTGGTGTAATCCTACAGGGCAGGAGGTGGGTTCGCCTAACATCCTTGAAAGCTGAATATAAGAGAGTGTGTCACACGAGTTTTGGGTGCAAGAAATCAGTAAGAAGAGAGAAGATGGGATTACACTAGTAGTAGAAGAAGCTTGTGGTGGTAGATGGCATTGTAGGGCTTGGGAGTTCGTTTCTAGATAATAGGAAATTGATTGAATGAAGTTGGGTGGTGTGTCTGTTTCACATATCTTACACGAAATATAATAAAGTGTGGGTGTTGCAGTAATTTAAAAGACAAGTAAATGGGAGGGGAGGATGATTAATGGGTTTTTTCTTTTGTTTTTGTTTAAATTAGGAGGAAGAAGCAGAGAGAGAGAGAGAGAGAGAGACAGGAGGCGTAGGACAAGGTCAGAAGAATTGGAGCCCTCTGCTTGCCTCCTTGAGATACTTTTGTTATCTTTAAAGAGTAGATATTTTGTATTACAAAAAAAGACAACCACCTTTGAGTTGATTTGATTTGATTAATACCACTACACCATTTGATGGGATTATTGAAAAAGTAATGATAAAGAAATTGTGGTCAGCGGAGAGAAGGTTCCTTCCTTCTCTTATTAAGATCTCTTTCTAGAAATGAAATTATATTTTTTTAAAGTTATTTTTAGTTTTTATCTTTTTCTTTTTCAGGCAAAATCCTAACCAAAATTCTTCCCCCTCCTTCATTTCTTTCCATTTGCTTTGGCTGTCTTCTTTTTCTTTGTTTCTTTTTGTTTTCCAGAAGGGTCAGAAAAGAAATATGGATTCGTATCCTCTCTCGCTCCTCCATCGGATCAAAGATTGCTTCCATTCGGCCATTTCTTCGCTCCTGGCCAACCTCTTCTCCGCTCTCTTCACCTTCGTCTTCGCTCTAGGTTCGTCTCCCTTTCCTTCTTCTTTTCTTCCTTTTCATTCCTTGCTAGTATTACGTTCAATCTCTCCTCTATTCCTTTGAACCAAAAAAAAAACATATGAATTGTGTTTTTGTATGATTCAACAAAAACACAATGATATATAGATAGGATGTGATGTGGTATGCTGTTGGGTGAGGAATACATTTCATGCTTGCTTTACTTTCAGTGGGGACTTTGCTAGGAGCATTGACAGGGGCTTTGATCGGCCAAGAAACAGAGAGCGGTTTCATCAGAGGAGCCGCCGTTGGTGCTATTTCAGGTGCTGTCTTCTCCATCGATGTCCTTGAATCTTCTCTCCTCCTCTGGCAATCCGACCAGTCTGGAATTGCTTGCCTTCTCTACTTGGTAACCCCTTTTTTCCCTAAGCTTACCTCCTTTTTCAATCAATCCCAATATTCTGGACTGCTTTTCTTTTTCTTTTTGTTCATTAGATTGATGTCATTGCTAGCCTTTTGAGCGGGAGGCTTGTTCGTGAGCGTATTGGTCCTGCAATGCTAAGTGCGGTCCAGAACCAGGTCATTATTACCAACCAATGCAAGGCATTGTTTTATGGATCATCCCTCATTCACTCTGAATTTTCTGTTTCTCATCATCTAATTTTTAATAATTCCAGATGGGAGCTGTGGAGTCACAGTTCCCGGACCAAACTGACATCTTCGACACTGCCATTTCAAATGGTCTCACAGGGGATTCTCTCGACAGGATCCCAAAGGTTCGAATCACAGACACCTCAGGGGAGATGGTCTCTTGCTCTGTCTGCCTTCAGGTTTGTCCTCACTTGCCTTTATGCCAACTTGTAGGTAATTACACAACCGGATACATATTCTTGGCGTTCTAGATGTTTCGATTAAGGTGAAACAGAGAGAGATAGGTAACAAGTGGTTGGAAAGATAAATTAAATATTGACTTGTGGTGACGATCGATACAGGACTTTCAGGTGGGAGAGACTGTTAGAGTTTTGCCGCAGTGCCATCATATGTTCCACCTACTCTGCATTGACAAGTGGCTTTGCAGGCATGCTTCTTGTCCCTTGTGCAGAAGACATCTTTGAATTCAAAACCTCTCTTTTTCTTCTTTGTAAATGAGGTACATAGAGGCCCATACACACACACACACACTACTAGTGCTCCTTGATTACTTAGGTTACACGTTACAGATTATGATGCATCAACAACCATTGTCACTTGACTGATATCTTTGATTATTTAATGTAAGCTCTTCTTGCCTTTGGGTTGATATTCCATTTATAGAAAATTTTGGGATTGGGGTTTCCATAAGCTAACCCCACAAGAAGAAACCTTGATATAGAGATACATCCTTGGTTGCTGTCGCAAGCAATGATCTACCATTTAGAACTTTAGAAGGGAGACAATAAATTTTACATTGACAAGTCCGAGGAAAAATACATTCTAGATGTTATGTAGCTTCAGTTTGACACTATCATATGTAACAATGCTTATAACAGAAGAGTGAACAAAAGAAGATAATACTATGTAAGCGAGTTTGCTTCCCCTGCCCTTATGAATTATAACATCATCCAACCAAACTCCCGCCAGATTCTTAACGATCCTGTTCTTGTTTTTTTGCCGGCAACCAACAATTTGTTTGTGTTGTCCTTGTATTTCTCAAACTAGATAGTATTTATTATTTTCCAATCATTTTCTTATTGTTATAGATTATATTCACCGTGGAACATATCAATGGGTCGAAATGTATCGAGTTGTGAGATGCATGTGTCAAACTTTTTCTGTGTTTTGTGTTGATGATGTTTCTTCGCAAGCTGTCAGAGGACAAGACACGAATTGTCGTATAGATAGGAAGATTTTGTCGTAAGAGATTATAAACCATCTTTTAGTGTGTTGACACCCGTTTGGTCGACTGAGCTGAAAATGACACGAATTGGTAGCTAGAGGGGCATTCTCGTAAAAAATGGGGTTTCATTGATGTTTTGTAACATTGTAAGGGACACACAACAACAACGCCGGCGTCGCCTTCTTTTTCTCTCTTTGCTTTCCTCTTGTTTTCTCTCCCTTCCTCCATTATTACAGGATGGCTACGACGGAGTCCAGTGCCGCTAATTCGGCATCTCAAATCCAACCTGGCTACTCCATTGATCCCTCCTCTGTCTCAAGATCACGTACCTGGATTACTGGTGCTTCCGGTTCTGGCGCTATCATTGATGATCCTTGTGACAAGGGCAAGAAGAAGCCTGTCTGGAACAAGCCTTGTACCAGCTCCTCCCCTCTTATGGGCGCCGATTCCTGGCCTGCTTTGTCTCTATCTTCACACAAGTCCCCATCTTTAGATTCTTCCAAAGGTTTATCGCCAATGCCGCAGGTAGTTCTCTTCTACCATCGTTGTCACCCCCGATTGATTGATCAGATAATATTTTGGGATTGACCAGCATCTTCTCTGGTCTCATCTTTATTTTCAACCTCATTGATTTGCATGTTACTTTGCATCGTCCTTGGAGCCTTGTAAGCCAATGCTTGTTTCGTTACATATAATATAGATGTATCAGCTCTTCTTTTTTACCTTTTGCTTTCTAACATGCATTATAACGCAGGCTCCTCTCAGTTCCAGTATCAACGCTAGTGCTGCTACTTCATCAGATAACCTTAATGTTAATAGCCAAAGGAAACCTTTTAGACGAAATAACTCCACCTCATCTAAACCCCCAAATGCTTATCAGAGGAGTGGCTCTGCAGCTTCTCAGTCCCGTAGGCATCACAACAATGGCAGCTCTTACCCTCCTCCTGGGGATGGGCTTTACCTCGAGCATGGGCACCAGAGCGGCCTTAACTCTAATAATGGGAGAGGAGACATGCACTTGCAACCGCAGAGGGGTTTTGGGATGATGAGACCGCAGATACTGATGGGGTCACCATCTTTTCCTGCTAGCAGCAGCACTCAATATATGGCAGCACCTCAAATAGGTTCATATGGTGGCCCCATGCTCTACCCTGGTATGCTCTTGCACTTGCTGATGCCATCTCTCTTATATATATGTTCCATTTCTAATGTTGTGTAGTATGTTTCTATTTTCAGATTATGCGCTGCACGTCTTTATGCCGCACCCACCTCCAGAGTCGATGACTTTGGTTGGAAACTTGGCACCTCCACCCATATATTTTCCCACTTTTGATACCATCTTGTACAATAAAATATTGACACAAGTAGAATATTATTTCAGGTAATCGTTTCCCAGCTCTCTACCCTAATAGATGCATGCCTCTTGTTACAAATGTGAATAACAAACTTTATCCTTTTGCAGTGCTGATAACTTAAGCAAAGATAGACACTTGAGGCGTCAGATGAACGATGAAGGTTGGGTTCCTGTTAGAGTAATAGCAGGGTTCAGAAGAGTAAGTGGCTCCCAGTCCTCACTGTTTTACCCACCTCTTCTGAAGCAAACATGCTCTGTTGAGATTACATTGTTCTACTACCTTTATATAAAGGTGTTTGTTTGCTTTGGTGAATGTGAATCTGACTGTACACAAAAGAGTAATTCTTTGAAACATTGTATAACTTTTTACAGCTTGCGGAACTGACAGACAACATTCAGACTATATTGGAGGCGCTGAGAAGTTCAGAAGCTGTGGAAACTAAGGTAATCTGATTAATATGGATGCCATATATAAGATTATTATAAGTAAAAGCTATAAAGTATAATCAGTGTGGATGGGATTTGTAGGGTGAAGCATTAAGGAGGCGAGGAGATTGGGACAAGTATTTACTGCCTCATGAACAACCGTCAAGCTCTGGTCCTGAAGCGGCGGCGGGGGACTCAACTTAAGAGCATGAGTCTATCAGAGAGGAGCAGAGAGTAAAGAGATGCTGAGCAAGAAAGATGTGTGTTTGTTCCATTTGCAACTAACTCTCTATCTACTCTGTTAGACATAATCCAACTCTCCTACGTATTTTCTCTTTCTCTCGTATCGTCTTTTTGGCTTGAGAATCTGATGGGAAGTGATTGATGATTCTCTATTTGAAACATCAGACAAAAAAATATATATATATATATATATATATTATTCTCCGCTGGCTTCTTTTAACCATCGGACAGGGTTTAGTTACCTGAATGTTTGGAATTGGTTTACGTTTTGACCGACCATGCATGGTCCCAGTTGCCGTTCAAATCGAAAAAGTAATTGAACATTGCATTTTGCGTCAAAAAAAGTCAGAAAGGTTTTCTTATAAAATCATAAGATTGTAAACGTTCTATGACATTGTTTTGGATGATCAAAAGACTGATCTGAGAATGAGAATAAGATATATGGGGCCACGGCAGCTAAGTTGGCGCCAACTCTTCAGGCTTAAATTTGTCGGCCCAAGTTGGAAATAAGGCCCATTAATTGAACCGGGTGGGTGGGTTGCTGCGTCTTCTTCTATTATACGCCATGCCGATGGCGAAGGGTGTCAGTGAGTAGTCAAATCGGAAGTAGCCGTTGCTGGATATTCTCTTTTCGCCTATAAATTCACACTCTCTCTGAGCTGAGCCGGCTTCAAAAATACTGAAGATTAAAAGAGAGTGAGAGAGAGAGCCGCGAAGTAAATAGCATTCTTCCGCTTCTCGAATCTGCTCAGTCGCCGTCGCCGTCTTCTAGCACAACATGAACGCTCCTTCGGTTCTCTCTTTCTCAGTAAGTTCCTTGAGATCTCGTCTCTTTAAATCTCTCTATTAGGTTTCTTCCGTGTTTGTTTCCACGTTCTAATAATGCTTTTACTGCGTCGTTAAAATGTTTCAGAGGACTCTTTGAAGCGTGAATCTGAAACAAAGGTTCACCACCATGGTAACAACATTCAAGCCTCCACTCCAAGGTAATAATTAAGTCTTTTTCCTTTTTTTGTGTTTAGTTTTTACTTCATTCCACGTTATGTGTGTTTTTAGTCTGCTAAACTCTTTGTTTGTGTCTCTTTACAGGAATTGTTGTTACCAATGATGGGAATATGCTATTTTGCGTGAACTAGATGTTGCTCACCCTGCAGCTAAGCTCTTACCTCTTCTCTTTTTTTTTTTTAACCTTATTGTTGTCTTCTCATTGTTGTTTTTTTCTGATATGTTTTTCTTCTCTCTGTGTTGGTTGTAGTCTACGATTGAGCTGAGCCGCACACAGGACGAAGAAGTGGGTGATGGGACTACATCTGTTATTCTTCTTGGTATGTACATTACATCTGATTGACACTATTATCTGCACTTGGTTTGATTTTGAAGCAGTGTCTTGTGACGTTGTATTGTGGATTGATACTCAAGAGTGATATATGCATCTGTTCTGAAATCAACGCATGTTCTGCTGCTTTTACTTACTCATTTTTTTATTGTCCAAACAGCTGGTGAAATGCTACTACATGTTGCCCAAACATTCATTGAAAAGAGTTACCATCATATGCCGAGGTATTTACTTGCCTAATGATTTGCTACATTTTTACTTGTTCTTCATTTGAATAATGTTTTGAACAATGTTTTCTTCACTGCAGCTTATAATAAGGCTCTGGAGGATGCCATCGCTGTTCTTGACAAGATTGCCATGTCAATCCATGTTAATGACCGTAAGTCCTTCTCCTTTCTTCCTCTTTGATATTTTCTGTCAGGGTAAAAGACTTTTCATTCCTGATCTTGGGAATTACTCATGTTTACTGATAGAAAAATGTTTATATTGCAGGTGCAACGGTTCTAGGATTAGTCAAGAGCTGCATAGGAACAAAATTCACTAGCCAGTTTGGACATCTTAGTTATTGCTGGATAATAGATCTTAGCCAATATTTTGGGATACACAAGAAACTTAAATTGGGCTTACGGTCATTACAGGCTTTGACCTTTGGATATAGCACTCCCAAGTGACTGTCTGAGGGCTCAATGACGAGTCCAAGAAGAAGCTGAAGAGACATCAACGAGTGAGCAAGCAGAGAACCCGACAACAACAACTCAAATCTGCAAAGATTTATTCAGCGATGTTGTGGTGAGAGCAACATCTACTCAAAGAACATCACAGACTTTTTTTTAGAAGGTAAAGCATCTGGTTTCTCTACTACTGAAGTAGATTGTTGTCATGGCTTGTTAAATTAATTAGGACAGTCATTGGTTTGATTACACAGAGATATATAATAAAAATGCTTTGAATGCACACAACATTTTCAACTCAAGCTAATGTTCTTTAAGTATCTTGAAAATTTCCATAGATCATTGAGTATAAAATAACAAAATTTCCTTCTTGCTCTTGCAGACATAAGTATATTTGCTAAAGCTGGTTCTCCAATGGTTTGTTTTAGTTCTCGACGGCTACAAGATTAAAAAGGTCAGTTCTCCATTTTTTGTTTTGTTTAATATTTATCACAATCAAGACTTACATATTCTACTTTATTGTCGAATTAATCAAGCAGTTGAATGACACATATGATTATTAAAATTTCTTTAGGAATATGTAATTTGGTTTAGTTTGAATTTTCTTTTTACTGCACTTTTTTAATTCAAATTTTCTTCTCTTGGATGTTTTCTTTTTTGCTTTGTAGGTGGGTGAGCTTCAGGGGAAGCGCGCAGTAAACGAACTTCTCGCCACCGTATTTGAGTCCAGGTTCCCCTTTTTCAGCCGTGTAAGGTATGTAAATCCTCTTTCTTCTCTGTTTTTTTTTTTAATTTTTTATCTTTTTTTTTTGGGGAAATTCTATATATTATCGGACTGATAGACTCTAAATTTTCATAATTTGTAAAACAAATAGAATGCGGCGTCCAGTCTTTGATTTGTCCGTTAAGTTTTTGTTTGTCTTTACACATTTGTTATTTGGTCACTCAAAACCAGTAACCGTGATTGTCTAGATAAGCGGTACCGTGATTGTCTAGATAAGCGGTACCGTGATTGTCTAGATAAGCGGGGATTGGTAGACACTAAATTTATAGTGTGTAAAACAAATAGAAATGCAGCGTGCAGGTTGGAGACGTTAAGTTTCATTGTTTGTCTTTACACATTTGTCATATTTGGTCACTCAAAACCAGTAACAAATTCTAGTTTTTTGGATTGGTAGACACTAAATTAAAATGTGTAAAGACAAATAGAAATAAATGCAGTCATTTGCCTTTACATACTTGTGATCATTTAGTCACTCAAAATCAGTTTGGTAATTAAGAGTTTCCCCATTTGTTTTGTCGTTTGTTTGTGTGTTTCTTGTTTTTTTTTTTCTCTCGTGTATGTCAGGTTAGAAGTCAGTGATGCTGCGCTATGGAACTTGACGTTGAAGGCTTATCTGGATATGGGTTTTTAAAGAAGATGCTGTCGACCTCTCTTCTCAATTTTCAGAAAAGGTATGAGTTATAGTTTATATCATTGATTGTGTGGTAGTGAAATTAGGAACTTAAGATAGAGAGAGATTCAGCAAATGGTTGTGTCATTTGTATTACTAGCTTAAGTCGTTCAGGTTTGGTTGTGATTGATGATCTCTCTCTCTTAAGTTCCTACTTGAATACTTGGGATATTATTTTATGTTTCTATTTTTTTCAGGGAAGAGTAGTTAGTTAGTTGGGCAATAATGTATGTGCTCATTAGCTGAGAGCTGTGTAGAGAGAACCGTGGAAAGCCCTTTCATATGGCGACAATGGTCTAAACAGCGATCTCCTCTCTCAAAATCAAAATTCAAGAGAGAGGGAACAGAACAGCATATCAGAAGAAGAGGGTGGTAATATTAGGGGGAAAGTCCGTCCCCTCCTTCCTCTGCGTGGAGATCTCGGGGGAGATGGAGGAGAGAATACACGGCACTCTTCTCTCTCTCTCTCATTCAAGTTTGGTACGTTTCTTTCTTCTTCACTGGATCTTTATTTGATTTGGTGTTAAGTTTATATTTTAATTAAAGGTTTTTTTTCCTTTTCCACAAGGATGCAAGCAGGGAGTTTCTTGTACCTTGAGATTTATTTATAACGAAGATATAAACGATCTCTTGGCTCCTCAACACCGCACACTCCATATTCATGAGAATCTACAGGTACAACATATATATATGTCTTCTTATAATCTTCTTCTATCTAGCGAGAGTCTGATCTGATGCGGTTCTTTTTCAATCTTAAAATGTTTGTAGAAAGGAATATTTGTGGCTGGTCTACGAGAAGAAACTAAGGTAATCTGATTAATATGGATGCCATATATAAGATTATTATAAGTAAAAGCTATAAAGTATAATGTGGATGGGATTTGTAGGGTGAAGCATTAAGGAGGCGAGGAGATTGGGACAAGTATTTACTGCCTAGTCATGAACCGTCAAGCTCTGGTCCTGAAGCGGCGGGGGCCTCAACTTGAGAGCATGAGTCTATCAGAGAGGAGCAGAGAGTAAAAAGATTATGCTGAGTAAAAAAGATGTGTGTTTATTCCATTTGCAGCTCTCTCTATCTACTCTGTTAGACATAATCCAACTCTCCTACGTATTTTCTCTTTCTCTCGTTGTCTTTTTGGCTTGAGAATCTGATGGGAAGTGATTGATGATTCTCTATTTGAAACAGCAGACAAACAAATATTATTCTCCGCTGGCTTCTTTAACATGGTTAAAATGCTCGTAAAGAGTCATTTTGTAAAATTAAGCGGATAAAATGCTTGCACCTTCATGTGAAACTTCCAGGCTCATTTAGACAGACCATCATGTGTATGTTATATTAATATAAGTAGCACAAGTTAGTCGGGATGAAATATAATGTGTCAATCATCTAAATTCCAACCGAGATAAAAGTGGAGAAACAAGAAGAAAGAGGTGAAGAGATGTAAGAGTAACAGGAGAAAGAAGAGAGAAAGGTGAGACGACATGAATAGACTGATGAGACAACCCATCACCCAGACAGGGTATAGCAGAAGCAGCGGGTAGCAGAGGACTAGGAGACAAGAGCAGACCAGACACAGCCCTCTCTCCATAGCTTCTTCTCCCATCACAATGTTTGATCTCATCTGTTTTACTTTGGATGTTTCCATTTATAAACCTAAAAACATACGACTCTTTGAAGAGAGAGACGGAAGAACATCATGCAAAAGAAGTTTTTTTCCCTCCCTAAACAGGGCGATGCAACCCACGTTTTTCCTCTGTTTCTGCTACTCTCACTGAGACTTGAGAAACAGACGTAAGTAGAACACGACCTGATTCGTGATTATGTTTGTTTTATGAATGAACAGATAAAAAAGTCTTCTGGCTTAATTACCAAGCACAAGTCCAAAGCTAAGTATCCAAATTGATTAAGAGTTGAAGCATATACATACAAATATGTCTGAACCTCCTCATTATATATTTTAAAACCTCATTACTATCACATTCCACAAAAGCTAGTTACAAGTAGGGTATACAATGATACATATTCATATCTGAACAAAAACAACACCAAACAAAAATCGAGGGAAGAAGAACAAAGTTCTCAGGATTTGGAGAATGCACGGAGCGTAGCATCCAACGCCTCCCGATCATAATCTCCCGTGAAAACGCAGTTTCCCAGCGGGCCTTTCAGGAGAATCAGCCTCAGCAGTCCATCTGCCACTTTCTTGTCAACCTGCATCACCAAAACATATTTCAAATGGAACGTTACTTTCTCTCAAAGAAGATACAAACATATATTCATTTTTGATTCCACAAACTCACCGCCATTATGGACTTGAACATGCTGACGGTCATGCTCTCTGGGGGTGTTGTAGGCAATTTCGCTCGTTTTAAGATGCTGTTCACTCTCTCCACGATTGAGTCATCTATCCAGCCAAGACGATATGACATGTCCACTGCCATTACCTGAGAAATAACAAACAGTGTAAACCCCATAGGTCGTGTTGGGGAAGAGTTTAGCAGAGAAAAGATGGAGGGAAGGAGATACCGTGCCAGCTGCAACAGCTTCTCCATGGAGCCACTCTCCATACCCGAAGCCAGTTTCTATGGCCTGCATAAATAAATGATAATGTCAAGGAAGGAATACCCAAAGAGGGCGTTATAAACTACTTACATGGCCAAATGTATGACCCAAATTGAGGGTAGCTCGCAAGCCGCTTTCTTTCTCATCCTGTGACACAACATCCGCCTTGTTTTCACATGATCGCTTAATAGCATAAGCTAATGCAGCCGGATCCCTAGGATCAAAAAATGATCACAACATTTAGACACTATATAGATGAATCTCTCAACAGTTTTGTTTTTTTATTTGGGCAGAGACGGAATGAATGGTTAATAATCACCTAGCAAGCAGGGCCTCAATGTTCTTCTCCTGCCACTCAAAGAAGTCAGCATCCCTGATAAGCCCGTATTTGACCACTTCAGCAAGACCTGAAGCCATCTCCCTGTCAGGCAGTGTGTTCAAGGTGTCAGTGTCAACAAGCACACACTGTGGTTGGTAAAATGCGCCGATCATATTCTTTCCAAGACGATGATTGATGCCTGTTTTGCCACCAACGGAAGAATCAACCTGCAAGGAAATGATGGATAAATAAGCATGTTGGAAGTTGTAGAGAAGAAGAGAAGTGAAAAGATGAAGAACCTGTGACATAACAGTGGTGGGGATTTGGATGAAGTTAACACCACGGAGGTAAGAAGCAGCAGCATAGCCACACATATCGCCAATAACACCGCCACCAAGGGCAACAAATGTAGATCGTCGATCAAGGCGAGACTCAATGGCCTTATCGAACACTTTCATAAGAGTATCCTAGAGAGATGGACTCAAATCAGTAACCTATATAGCATGAAAACGTAGATCACAAAAAAAAGAGAGAGGAAGAAGAAGAATAACCATGTCCTTGTATTTCTCTCCATCAGGGAGAATAACAGACTCCACAGTGACGTTTGGATTTCCTATAGTCAAAGCATGTATCGTCTTGTCCAGGTAAAGAGGAGCAACTCGTTCGTTAGTTACCACAAGCACTTTCTTTCCGTGAACATGCCTAAGTCAATTCAATTCATTCAACAACACATTTTATTATGAACAAACCCTCGGAAATAGACAAACAAGACCATATTGGCCAGCCTTGAAGCTCACTAATCAACAAGTTACTAATAAATCGACAGGGTTTGATGATGAGGGTGAATATTAAAGGCACAAGATTTCATGACAATACAAACTTTGGAAGTTATGATGAGGAGAAAAGAGGGAACCTTTGAAGAAGATGTGATTGATCGAGCAGGCCGGCGCCGATATAGATGGGATAACTCCGGTTACCCAAATCAACCTCGACGATAGTGGGAGGAGTAGTAGCCATGGAGCGTTTAGCAGGTTCGTTCATCAGCTGGATGGGACCGGCTCGAACACGAGACCTAGTGGTGGAAGACGACGACTTTGGGAAGGAAAGGGTTGGTGGGGGAATCAAGCCGCCGCGATTTTGAAGGGAGTGGAGAGTCTTCTGGGATGTGACGGTGGAGGAGATTGAAAGCGAAATGGTATTGGCAGCCATAGGAAATCGATCCCCGATCGAATTGAAGAGAAGAATTAGAAATTGGGTTGGTGAAGAGACAAGAACCTACAATATAACATATTACTACATTACATACATCTCATGTGGTTTGGTTTGGTGAAGAAAGCCTGCGTGGGGGTAGGTGAGTCTCGATTCACCACCACACTCAGTCTACGCTACACCTCCAAATTACAACCGTCCGATCAGAAAATCGAAACTTGAATTGGCCAAAGTTGAAATATATGCTAATGGACGGTTCCGATGGTGACACGTCACTAAAAAGACCTTACTCTTTCGAAATGGAACAGAACGGTGCCGTTTAGCTGACCCGCGAAAACACAGCCCACGAAAGAAGAAGGGGTGGTGGGTTTGAGTGTACTGCCTCGAAATTCAATTGCAAAAAATCAGAGAAAGGGGAAACGATACGGCGGTGAATCGGCTGGAGTGCCACAACTTCAAGTATGGGAAAAGGAAATCAATTATCGTCGGAAGAAGAAGAAGAGTCGTATAAGTTAAGGAGGTCTACTGCCAACAAGTCGAAATCGAGGAGGTCCTCGGGTGGTGGTAGCACAACGAATCCTAGAGCCTCCAAGAAACCTCGACTTTCGGGTGTTTCTAGCTCCACTCACGTTGACAAGGCACCATTTCTCTCTCTCTCACTTGATTTTTCTTTTTTTGTTGGCTTATTATTATTATTCATCGCTTATGTTTTGGGTTCCTGTTTGTTTGTGCAGATAAGATTGTCCTTCGAAGATTTCGACGAAGCTTTGAGCGGCTTCAAGGCATCTCCTCCTGGTAATGGTATCCCAGTTTTATATGCTCTTTTAGTCTTACTTTTGAGATATTTATATGCTCCTCCTCTTGTTTACTAGTGTTGAAGAAGAAGGCGGGTTTGTGGGTTGACAAATACAGGCCTCACTCCTTGGATGAGCTTGCTGTTCACAACAAGAAGGCAAACCCTCTTTTCCTTTTTACCTATGCTATGCTTTGCTTTGCTTTCTCTCTTTTAATTCCTGACATTTTCACCAGGTTGAACAAGTTAAACTTTGGTTTGAGGAATGTTTGGACTGCTCCAAGGTAATCTTTGGTTTTACCTTTTTAATTCCTTTATTTTATGATTGCAGTTTTCACTTTCCTGGTTTCTTTATCTGCAGGATGGTCTTAGGAATAATGTTTTACTACTCACCGGTCAAGCTGGCGTCGGAAAATCTGCTACTGTCCATTTACTTGCCTCTATCCTTGGCGTCACTGTGTATGAGTGGAACGCTCCTATTCCTACTGTCTGGCAAGAACATGTGCATAACTCAACTTCTGGTACTCACACCAATTCCTCTTTTTTGTTTTGTACTCAGTCTTAGCGCCACAGTTACTGATCGGGGAATACTTTCTGTACTAGTCCAATAATTTTCTGCCCATTTTTGTTACGTCTCCTAGGACCCAAGTACTCTTCGAAGCTGGATGAGTTTGAAAACTTCGTTGACACTACTAGAAAATACGGTGTGATTGCTTCATCGACTACTATGGGATCAAAACCGCACGTTGTTCTTTTGATTGATGACCTTCCTCTAGCCAATGGGAGGCTTGCATTTGAAAGGCTGCAAAACTGCTTAATGCTCTTGGTGAAATCAACGCAGATGCCAACTGTGGTATCTATCACGGACTATGTTAAAGCAGACTCTTCTGACCAAACTGCGCGAACTATGGACGACCTTCAGTCATCTCTTGAGCGAGCAGGAGCTTTAAAGGTTTATTTTATCAGACTATTTATGCAGTCTTGATCAAGCTATATATATATTATTTCTTCAACTATAGTCGATTGTCCGGGTATGTATTCACAGGTGGCTTTTAATCCCATTACGAAGAACTCAATTAAGAAGACACTTCAGAGAATAAGCAGAGAAGAGCATTGTCAGGTTACGACTGCGGAGGTTGATCAGATAGCGAGTGCCAGTGGAGGAGACATCAGACATGCTATTACGTCTTTGCAGCTCTTCTCTGTTAAGCCAGAACTGGATCATACAAATGTGAAATCAACATGGTCTAGCATGGGTAACACTTATCAGCGAAATGAACAGACAATGCACAGTGGTTTGGATAGTGGATTATCTTCCTGTTTCGGTAGGGATGAGACGCTTTCTTTGTTTCACGCCCTGGGAAAATTTCTCCACAGCAAAAGAGAGACTACTGATAATGATAATGATAATGTTATTATATCAGGTAAGGAAGTTACGAGAGTGCAATTTAGAGCTCAGGATAATTATCGTCTAAGCTAATGTTTGTATCAGATTGCAGTGATTATCTTGTGCATAACCACTTTGCAAGGTTACCACTGAAGATGGATGCGCCAGAGAAGGTTCTTAGCCAAGCTCATGGACAGGCAGACCGGGTTGTAGATTTTCTTCATGAGAATGGTATTATTACTGGCTTGTCTTGACTCTCCATTATTTACTTATCTTATGCACCATTTTCCTCCTTCATATAGATACACAAGAGAGATGTGTACTTACTATGAACTCATAACGTTTATGAAGTGTTAGATTTCGTGAGTGACGGAGCCATAGAAGATGCCTGGTGCGTGTCTTCATATTTAGCGGATGCTGATCTGCTTCTCGCAGCTTTAAGAGGAAAAATGAGTGTACATAACAAAACAGAGGACGTTCTACAATCAGTCGGTGCCTCGGTGGCTGCTCGTGGTGTGCTGTTTGGAAACAAGCAGCCATGGTCATCAAGGTTTCTTATACAAATGGATGCCAGTTGATTCTATCATATATTTTTTTTGTATGTTGGATAGATTTATAATATCGGTTGGTCTGTATCGTGAGTATGCAGATGGCACGTGATTCGCAAGCCAAAACTCTGGCAAGTGGAACAGTCTTCAGTACAAACCAAGGTCAATGTTTTCTTCCTTTTTCTCAAAGAAAAAAAAAATCTAATTATACATGTTCAAACTTTCTCTATAAGCTTGCAAAATTTATGTCTGAATGTAGAAAAATCTGAGAGAGCAGAGGAACATAGGATATGAGGGGTCAAGAATGGCAGATATGTCAGTGATGGCTACAGAGTACAGTCCTGTACTGAAATGGCTAAGCTACAGGGCGTCTGCAGATGTGTTTTCAGAAATGGAGGAAGAGACGGATGAGGATAAGAGTGAAGATGATGAAATACAAGACTGGTGACATTTACCATCTTAAGTCTCCTTTTATGTTTGGTCAAATGAAATTGGTAGGATAGATCAGGACAAGGGAAATGGCTAATTGTTCTGCTTACTTCTAAATAGGAAATTGACAGTCACTTCGCTATCTAACAATGCGCACAGAAAAGTTTATCCTTGGCCTGATCAAGTTCGAGCGAATTCTTGGTTTGATCAAAAGCATAACTTTAATACTGCAAACCAACAGACGAAGAAATTAGAAATAAATTATTCATTGGAAAATTATAAATGATGTTCAAATATCAGGAAAATATGTTTAACATATATATATATATATAAATTCGAATGTGATTAGGTATTTTTAAACAATACCAAATAGGCTAAATAGTAAACTTAGTGTTTATAAAAAAATTCAGTATTTTCGTAGAGAATCTATATATTTCAAGAGAAAATAGAAGAAAATAATATTTTTGTTTTAATGCATAACTGCATCATGAACTAGCATAATAAGAAGATTAAAGAGGTTTGAAAGTTTAAGTGTTCCCGTTTGTCCAGAATTGGCTTAATGGTTAACCCTTACGAGAATATTGAATTTTCTTATAAATACTAACTCTACTATTTAGTTTATTTTGTGTTGTTTAAAAATACCTAACCACACTCCAAATTTATATAAACGTATGCTAAACATATTTTTATGGTATTTGAGCATCATTTCTAATTTCTCAATGAAGAATTTATTTAAACTTTATACACCATCTAATAAATGGACTAACCCCCTATAAAAACTCTATTTTCTGGAGAAATAGGAAAACATCTAAGCTCTCAAACCTCTTTAATCTTCTTACTTTGTTAGTTCATGACGCATCTATGCATTAAAACAAAAATATTTTTTTTCTAAATTTTCTTAAAATATGTAGGTTAATCCCTACGAAAAAATGAATTTTTTTTGATAAATACTAACTCTATTTAGCCTATTTAGTGTTATTTAAAAGTACCTAACCACACTCGGAATTTATATCTATGTATGCTAAACAAATTTTCAAGGAATTTGGGCATCATTTCTAATTCCCCAATGAATAATTTAGTTAAACTTTATACACCATCTAATAAATAGACTAACCCCTATAAAAACTCTATTTTCTGAAGAAACAAAAACATCTAAGCTCTCAAACCTCTTTAATCTTCTTATTATGCTAGTTCATTTTGCAGCTATGCATTAAAACAAAAATATTTTTTTTTTTCAAATATTTCTTGAAATATGTATGTTAACCCCAACGAAAAGACTGAATTTTCTGATAAATACTAACTCTACTATTTAGCATATTTAGTGTTGTTTAAAAATACCTAACCACACTCCGAATTTATATTATGCTAAACATAAATTCATGGTATTTTGGCATTATTTTCAAATTTTCAATGAGTAATTTATTTACACTTTATATACCACCTAATAAATGGAATAACCCCTATAAANACGAAAAGACTGAATTTTCTGATAAATACTAACTCTACTATTTAGCATATTTAGTGTTGTTTAAAAATACCTAACCACACTCCGAATTTATATTATGCTAAACATAAATTCATGGTATTTTGGCATTATTTTCAAATTTTCAATGAGTAATTTATTTACACTTTATATACCACCTAATAAATGGAATAACCCCTATAAAAACTCTATTTTCTGGAGAAACGGAAACACTTAAGCTCTCAAACCTCTTTAATCTTCTTTCTATGTTAGTACATGATGCAGCTATGCATTAAAATAAATATTATTTTTTTCTAATTTTTCTTAAAATATGTAGGTTAACCCCTACGAAAAGATTGAATTTTCTAATAAATAAAAACTCTACTATTTAGCCTATTTAGTGTTGTTTAAAATATCTAACCACAATCCGAATTTATATATATGTATGCTAAACACATTTTTATGGTATTTGGGCATCATTTTTAATTCCCAATGAATAATTTATTTAAACTTCATATACCTTCAAATAAATGGACTAACCCCTATAAAAACTTCATTTTCTGGAGAAATAGGAACACCTAAGCTCTCAAACCTCTTTAATCTTCTTACTATGCTAGTTCATGCAGCTATGCATTAAAAAAAATATTTTTTTTTCTAGATTTTCTTGAAATATGTAGGTTAACCCCTACGAAAAGACTGAATTTTCTAATAAATACTAACTCTACTATTTAGCATATTTAATGTTGTTTAAAAATACCTAACCACACTCCAAATTTATATATATGTATGCTAAACATATTTTCACGGTATTTGGGCATCATTTCTAATTTTCCAATGATTAATTTAGTTAAATTTTATATACCATATAATAAATGGACTAACCCCTATAAAAACTCTATTTTCTGGAGAAATAGGAACACATAAGCTCTCAAACCTCTTTAATCTTCTTACTATGCTAGTTTATGATGCAGCTACGCATTAAAACAAAAATATTTTATTTTTCTATTTTTCTTGAAATGTGTAGGTTAACCCCTACGAAAATACTGAATTTTCTGATAAATACTAACTCTACTTTTTAGCCTATTTAAGGTTGTTTAAAAATAGCTAACCACACTCCAAATTTATATATATGTATGCTAAACATATTTTTATGGTATTTGGTCATCATTTCTAATTTCCCAATGAATCATTTATTCAAACTTTATATACCATCTAATAAATGGACTAATCCCTATAAAAACTCTATTTTCTAGAGAAATAGGAACACCTAAGCTCTCAAACCTCTTTAATCTTCTTACTATGCTAGTTCATGATGCAGCTACGCATTAAAACAAAAATATTATTTTTTTCTATTTTTTCTTGAAATGTATAGGTTAACCCCTACGAAAAGAATGAATTTTCTGATAAATACTTACTCTACTATTTAGCCTATTTAGTGTTGTTTAAAATACCTAACCACACTCCGAATATATATATGTGTATGCTGAACATATTTTCATAGTATTTGGGCATCATTTCTAATTTTCCAATGATTAATTTAGTTAAATTTTATATACCTTCTAATAAATGGACTAACCGTTATAAAAACTCCATTTTCTGGAGAAATAGGAACACCTAAGCTCTCAAACCTCTTTAATCTTCTTACTATGCTAGTTCATGATGCAGCTACGCATTAAAACAAAAAATTATTTTTTTTCTATTTTTTCTTGAAATGTGTAGGTTAACCCCCTACGAAAAGACTGGATTTTTTGATAAATACTAACTCTACTATTTAGCCTATTTAGTGTTGTTTAAAAATACCTAACCACACTCCGAATTTATATATATGTATGATAAACATATTTTCATGGTATTTGGGTATCATTTCAAATTCCCCAATGAATAATTTATTTAAAGGTTATATACCATATAATAAATGGACTAACCCCTATAAACACTCTATTTTCTGGAGAAATATGAACACTTAAGCTCTCAAACCTATTTAATCTCTTATTATGCTAGTTCATGATGCAGCTATTCATTAAAACAAAAATATTATTTTTTCTGATTTTTCTTGAAATGTGTAGGTTAACCCCTACGAAAAGACTGAATTTTCTGATAAATACTAACTCTACTATTTAGCCTATTTCAGGTTGTTTAAAAATAGCTAACCACACTCCAAATTTATATATATGTATGCTAAACATATTTTCATGGTATTTGGTCATCATTTCTAATTTCCCAGTGAATCATTTATTTAAACTTTATATACCATCTAATAAATAGATTAATCCCTATAAAAACTCTATTTTCTAGAGAAATAGGAACACCTAAGCTTTCAAACCTCTTTAATCTTCTTACTATGCTAGTTCATGATGCAGCTACGCATTAAAACAAAAATATTATTTTTTTCTATTTTTTCTTGAAATGTGTAGGTTAACCCCTACGAAAAGACTGAATTTTCTGATAAATACTAACTCTACTATTTAGCCTATTTAGTGTTGTTTAAAAATACCTAACCACACTCCGAATTTATATATGTGTATGCTAAACATATTTTCATAGTATTTGGGCATCATTTCTAATTTTCCAAGAATAATTTAGTTAAACTTTATATACCATCTAATAAATGGACCAACCCCTATAAAAACTCTATTTTTTCTGGAGAAATAGGAACACATAAGCTCTCAAACCTCTTTAATCTTCTTAGTATGCTAGTTTATGATGCAGCTCCGCATTAAAACAAAAATATTATTTTTTTCTATTTTTTCTTGAAATGTGTAGGTTAACCCCTACGAAAAGACTGAATTTTCTGATAAATACTAACTCTACTATTTAGCCTATTTATTGTTGTTTAAAATAACTAACCACACTCCGAATTTATATATGTGTATGCTAAACATATTTTCATAGTATTTGGGCATCATTTCTAATTTTCCAATGATTAATTTAGTTAAATTTTATATACCATATAATAAATGGACTAACCCCTATAAAAACTCTATTTTCTTGAGTAATAGGAACACCTAAGCTCTCAAACCTCTTTAATCTTCTTACTATGCTAGTTTATGATGCAGCTACGCATTAAAACAAAAATATTATTTTTTTCTATTTTTTCTTGAAATGTGTAGGTTAACCCCTTTAAAAAGACTGAATTTTCTGATAAATACTAACTCTACTATTTAGGCTATTTTGTGTTGTTTAAAAATACCTAACCACACTCCGAATTTATATATGTGTATGCTAAACATATTTTCATAGTATTTGGGCATCATTTCTAATTTTCCAATGAATAATTTAGTCAAACTTTATATACCATCTAATAAATGGACTAACCCTTACAAAAACACTATTTTCTGGAGAAATATGAACACCTAACCTCTCAAACCTCTTCAATCTTCTTACTATGCTAGTTCATGATGCAGTTACGCATTAAAACAAGAATATTATTTTTTTCTTATTTTTCTAGAAATATGTAGGTATTTTCTGATAAATACTAACTTTACTATTTAGCCTATTTAAAGTTTTTTAAAAATACCTACCCACACTCCAAATTTATATATATATATGCTAAACATATTTTCATGGTATTTGGTCATCATTTCTAATTTCCCAATGAATCATTTATTTAAACTTTATATACCATCTAATAAATGGACTAATCCCTATAAAAACTCTATTTTCTAGAGAAATAGGAACACCTAAGCTCTCAAACCTCTTTAATCTTCTTACTATGCTAGTTCATGATGCAGCTACGCATTAAAACAAAAATATTATTTTTTCTAATTTTTCTTGAAATGTGTAGGTTAACCCCTACGA